TAAAGGAACACTACAGTGCCAGTAAAAACAAAGTTGTTTTCCTGTAACTATAAGCTCCCTATGGTACGCTCTGCCTCCCAGTGGTGCAGAAGGGATTAAAAACCTCTTCTGTCGGGGCGTGGCCTGAACAGATCTGAATGGCCGCATAATCTGAGTGCTCCCACTCATACACTCTACATCCAGCACCTACCAAAGGCATCCATCACCACAAAGTAAAGCTACCGGTAGCACAATGTCTACCACAAAGACTGGAGCGAAATCAGCGTGCAAAAAGGGGAGAGACGGCAGAGACACCAACCTCACAGTCACATAGCTGTTCGTGGCCTCGCGCCCACACCAGGTTGCACAAGATGGCTGCCGTCCAAAATACGCAAGTCCAACGGGGAAGCCGCTGACAATCCCAAAGACATTAACGCGGAATTCACCGCCTATTTTGCAGCACTCTATAACCACTCCCCACACCACACCCTAAATAATACAACATACACAGATAGAATCACCTCCTTTTTTGACAGTCTCCCACTACCACAGGTACAGGAGGGCGAAAGGGAGGCTCTAAACTCACCAATCACTGCAGACGAAGTAGGGGCAGCCATAACACACCTTAAGAGCAACAAAGCCCCAGGCCCAGATGGCTATGACATGAGCTACTATAAGACATTTAAAGACGAGTTGATATCTCACCTCGTAACAATTTTTAACCACTTTCAGGAGGGGGGCTCACCATATGCCGACATGGCAACGGCAAACATAATCCTACTACTGAAACCAGACAAAGATCATACCCAACCCTCCAACTACAGACCCATCTCCCTAATCAACTCAGACCTAAAAAAAATGAAAGAATACATGAAAGAATCCAAGGCGCCTTTATGGCTCTTTCACTAGATGCCGAGAAGGCGTTCGACAGGGTAGAATGGCCCTTCATGATGGCCCTGCTATGCAGAATGGGCTTTCCGGCCCCCTTCTGCATTGCGATAAAAGCACTATACACGAACTTGAAAGCGCAAACACTTATCACTGGAGCACCCAAGACCCCTTTCTCCTTAAGCAATGGCACACGACAGGGATGCCCACTCTCTCCGCTGCTATTTGCAATCACCCTTAGAAACATAGAATCTGACGGCAGATAAGAACCATTCGGCCCATCTAGTCTGCCCAATTTTCTAAATACTTTTATTAGTCCCTGGCCTTATCTTATAGTTAGGATAGCCTTATGCCCATCCCACGCATGCTTAAACTCCCTCACTGTGTTAACCTCTACCACTTCAGCTGGAAGGCTATTCCATGCATCCACTACCCTCTCAGTAAAGGAATACTTCCTGATATTATTTTTAAACCTTTGCCCCTCTAATTTAAGACTGTCCTCTTGTTGTGGTAGTTTTGCTTCTTTTAAATATAGTCTCCTCCTTTACTGTGTTGATTCCCTTTATGTATTTAAATGTTTCTATCATATCCCCCCTGTCTCATCTTTCCTCCAAGCTATACATGTTAAGATCCTTTAACCTTTCCTGGTAAGAAAAGATTAACTTTCCCTGACCGGGAATCGAACCCGGGCCGCGGCGGTGGGAGCGCTGAATCCTAACCACTAGACAACCTTGAACCACTACTCCTGGCCATTAGCTCAGATCCGGGAATCTGAGGCATTGAACTAGCACACCAACCCTTCACGGTATCAGCGTATGCGGACAACGTCCTGCTCACCCTGGCAGACCCAGTATGGAGCTTACCAAACCTCATGGTCCTCCTAAAGCAGTACGGAGATGTCTCCGGCTACAAAATCAACCACACCAAAATGATAGCAATGCCCTTTATTCTCTCGACGCCGGACACGCCGCAGTTAAACAGACCTACCACTTTAAGATAGAGACAAAAGAATTCAAAATCCGGGCGTCACCTTGACGGAGAACCCGGCCTCACTCTATGCAAGAAATTACACCCCACTGATACGTACCCTCATAAATGACAGAGAGATGGACGAATAAACCCATTTCGTGGTTGTGACGACTGCACTCTGTAAAAATGAACGTCCTACCGAGATTACTATTCATGCTCCAATCCCTACCCATAAGAGTCACCAAAGGGAATTTGATACCAAGGCAAAAAGCGATCGACTCCTTCATTTGGCAGCACAAACGACCAAGACTGGCCCAGGGGCTACTGTACCGACCCAAAGACAGAGGGGGACCGGGCCTGCCCAACCTATACCACTATTACCTGGCAGCTCAACTAGTCCAGATCATTCATTGGCACTCTCCCCCGGACCAAAGGCGATGGGTAGACATAGAGTCCCTGCTGACAGGGGCGGATTTACCACAATTATACTTGTGGACCACTAAGACACAAAGAGCAATTCTACGAACAATCTGCGCGGCAGTCCTTAACTCTCTTCATTTATGGGACCAAACAAAGCTCAACTATGCCCTAAGTAATGACCCATCACCACTGACCCCGGTCCTCAGAAATAAAGAGTTCCTCTCGGGATTGAGGGCCCGAGATTTCAAGGGAATAGTGACCACAGGGCTACAAAGATACATACATCTATATATCAACAACGAGATCATCACATATGACCACTTAAAAACTAAAGCCCCACTGCAGCCAAAGGATTACTTTAGATATCTCCAGATCAGGGACTTCGCCCGTTCTAACAAGATTCAAAACGCAGCACAATGTAAACTAACGCCGACGTCAGCAGGCAGAGAGACCTCATGCACACGCACGGCAATGGCCGCATTTACGTTAGAACTGCCCCATAGGAAAGCATTGTGCAATGCATTCCTGTGGGGGTTTCGGGTGAGGTTGGGGTGTCCTCAAAAAGTCACCTAATGACCCGGAAGTAGAGGTGGAGTTGACCCATAAAAGGTAATTATTGCAGTTAATTAAAAAGGGTTAAGGTACCTAGGAATATGAGCTGAAGAGTGGTCTGGGTGCTTATTGTACCCCTTTAACCGTGAATAAGCCCTCCCCCGCGAGAATAGACTTAGTACAGTACAGTGTAGATCTCCATTAAGACAAAATAGTAAAGTTATTTTTGCAACATGGCTGCTAGCCTTGTGTGAGTTATGTACTACTTTTACATTATTTTTTATTGAGTGCAATACAGACACTAACTATTAACTAGACTTGATGTGAGGTACTTACAGTGAGGTGGAAAAAGTATTTGATCGCCTGCTGATTTTGAACGTTTGCCCACTGACAAAGAAATAATCAGTCTATAATTGTGTATTTTAACTGTGAGAGGCAATAACAAACCCTGCCCCCCCCAAAAAAAATCCAGAAAAACGCATGTCAAAAAAAGTTATAAATTGATTTGCATGTCAATGAGTGAAATAAGTATTTGACCCCTTTGACTTAGTACTTGGTGGCAAAACCCTTGTTGGCAATCACAGAGGTCAGACGTTTCTTGTAGTTGGCCACCAGGTTTGCACACATCTGAGGAGGGATTTTGTCCCACTCCTTTTTGCAGATCCTCTCCAAGTCATTAAGGTTTCGAGGCTGACATTTGGCAACTCGAACCTCTACAGATTTTCTATGGGATTAAGGTCTGGAGACTGGCTAGGCCACTCCAGGACCTAAATGTGCTTCTTCTTGAGCAACTTCTTTGTTGCCTTGGCTGTGTGTTTTGGGTCATTGTCATGTTTGAATACCATCTATGGCCCATTTTCAATGCCCTGGCTGAGGGAAGTCCATCGTCCCTTTGATGCGGTGCAGTTGTCCTGTCCCCTTAGCAGAAAAACATCCCCAAAGCATAATGTTTCCACCTCCATGTTTGATAGTGGGGATGGTGTTCTTGGGGTCAGAGGCAGCATTCCTCCTCCTCCAAACACAGCGAGCTGAGCTGATGCCAAAGAGCTCTATTTTGGTATCATCTGACTACAACACTTTCACCCAGTTCTCCTTTGAATCATTCAGATGTTCATTGGCAAACTTCAGAAGGACCTGTAGATGTGCTTTCTTGAGCAGTGGGACCTTGCAGGTGCTGCAGGATTTCAGTCCTTCATGGCATAGTGTGTTACCAACTGTTTTCTTGGTGACTATGGTCCTAGCTTGTGGCGGAACCTACCGCCAATTTCGTATACTTTGCCCCTGTGTGTGTGTTTTTCCCCTTATCGTTCGGGAATTATATACGAACGCCATCTATTCATCTCCCAAATGAGGACCACTCCTTACCCCATTAGAATGTTCACACCAGAAACTTAGGTGCGAAACCGCAAGGGAAGTAATAAATGCTTCCCCTGGATGGTCGCCATTTCGCATAACCGAATGCACGTGGTCGACAAAAGAATGGCAGCCATCTTGTCTCCCGCACGTGGCAGCGGCACTTGGTCGTCGAATGCCCAGAACTTTTTTCAGCTAGGCACTCGCACAAACCACGGCACAAATTATCTCTCAGGCACAGAGTATCTTGGGATTGAAAGCCCCTGTATAATTGTGTTGGAGAACCCATGTAAGTGTCTGTGCATAAAAGCTGTGTGTGGTCAGAATTAAATCAGTTGATGTCTGTGTATTCTAATGGTTCCAGAGTGGCTGAAGGAAGGAGTTAGCGGAGGTAACCAGCCGGGTTACCCATGATCTGCTACACAGCTGCCTTGAGATCATTAACAAGATCCTCCCGTGTAGTTCTGGGCTGATTCCGCACCGTTCTCATGATCATTGAAACTCCATGAGGTGAGATCTTGCATGGAGCACCAGACCGAGGGAGACTGACAGTTATTTTGTGTTTCTTCCATTTGCAAATAATCACACGAAATGTTACCTTCTCACCAAGCTGCTTGGTGATGGTCTTGTAGCCCATTCCAGCCTTGTGTAGGTCTACAATCTTTATTTTTTTTCTTTGACTTTTGGTAGTTTTCTACAAGTTCCCTTGTTTATGCCATGTTAAGTAAAAAAAAAAAAAAAGTAAAACAACTACAACAACAGTGAAAGTGGATTCTCTTTAGTTATGTTTTGGTATTCGAGAGGACATATTGAAATCTGTACAGTTTTATCCTTAACTTGTCTTTATTCACTTACTGCAGTGTCTCGTATAAAAGTTAAAACGACCTCCTATATTAATATTATTCTTTATTTCAGTTTTAATTTAAGCATAATTCAATGTTTGATGGAAAATAGCAGGTTAATATTTTTGTTCCTGGATATTGGTTGTAAAAATTCATAGAGCTGGATTGAGAAGTAGTCAGGAAAGAGAGTATTGTGCTTTTAGAATGTCAGATCACATTTTCCTTTATTAACACAGTTTATTATAGATAAAACAAACATTAAAAAAAACCAACAAACAAAAAAAAGATAAAAAAGAAAAAATAACAGGAATACTGCTGCTGGAACAAGAGGAGTATCTGTTGACCCATCTCATTGAGACAGTGAGAACGTTAGAACAATACGGAGCAGAAAAGAATATATCTGTGTAACAAGAAACACAACAATAAACACAGGCCTGTATCCATAAACAATGCAAGAAAATAGAGATGGAGACAGATGGAGAGAGACAGAGTATACAGACGTCTAGTGGTACAAACTAGAATGCATTGGTCTGCAATTTATTGGTCATCGCAAAATAATACCAGCAAGAGTTCACAGTATTTACATAGTAGAAACCACGAAGGCCACTGAGGCTTAATACAAATATAAAACTAAAAAAAATATTGTAACAAGTAAAAAATATTGTGCATACATTAATGAAAATAAAAGAATTATCCAGCATTTTGATAGATTAGTAATAAAAAGGGGGAAAAAAACAAGCAGTGTTTAAAGGTTTACTCCAACCCTTTCTATACTATAACCTTTAAAAAAAAAAAATGTATAATAGCTTGTTGGGTACTAGAATTTTTGTCCATCCACATAGCGACTTCTTAATTCTAAACCCCTAAGCAGAGATCCAGCGGGGGATACTTCTTACCTCTCTAAGGTCCAGTCAAATGATTCTCAGTATTTGATTGGACTGATCTTCAGGCTCAGATCGCATGTGGGGAGGGCAAAGGGAAGCAATTAAGAAAAGAAAGAAAAACAATCCCCATTTACACAATGCAGGAAGAGTAGAAGCCAATTACATTTGTCACAGAAACGCTGCACTTACAGATTCCTTGCTCCATGACCACTTCTAAAAAGCTGAAGGGTCATGCAGGTGGAAGTTACTCTTTAAGCCTTGGATCTCAAAGTATTGGCCCACAGGCCATTTCTGGCCCCTTCAGTATTTTCGTGGGGCCCATAGACACCAATGATGCTTTGACCAGGACAGTCTAAGAACAGATGTAGAACCCTCACTGAATTTTTTTTGAAGAAACTGGACCGTCCCGATGGAAAGACAGCTCGACTAAATACAGTACTATCAGAAAACTGATGACCAATGTGTTGCAATCCTCAGGGGGATAATTGCAGTTGAAGAATTAAAGACAATATAATACCCAACAAAGTGTAAATGAGGCAGGTACCCATCTAAAGAGAGCCTGTCAGCTTTGAGGTGGGAGCCCTGTTTATTCCCACCCCAGTAAACACAAATTACAAGTTTGCCGAAAGTTAAGTAAAAGGTAGCACTACAAGTCCTAGAGCCAACATCCTTCCAAAATGTGGTACATGCTCAGGAACCTCACTTCCACATTCCAGTACTCCTGCATGCGCATCACAATGTTCTCATCTTTTATGTGCATGGCTGGCTTTGTCTGGGCAGTCTGATATACTACATATGGCCACATATAAATAGCAGAAACCATAGCTGACCTTTAAAGAGCTATTGGGTTGTGAAATAATTAGAGCTGATTGTTTCTCTAAAAAAAAAAAAAAAAAACAAGACAAAAAAGCCTTGTCTATGTGGAAGCTCTATAAAATGACAAACATGCTCTTCCCTTAAACATTTTCTTTACATATTATTTTTGCAACCAGCATAATAGAAGACAGCGCTTGGATTCTAAAGACAATGAAACAATATATACCAGCATTTGTAAGACAGCTAAGTGTTTGAAATTCCTGTGAGTGTTCTATAAACATTACTACAGGTATACATAAATGGACAAAATTGGGTCATACAAGATGGTAAATAATATAATTTGGGTCAACCTTTCAGGGCAATCAAGCAATGCAGTAACTATCTATATTACTCAAAATATGAAACGGTCACTATATGCTATTATTTGCAGGATAAAAAGGAAATGCTAGCAGGGTTTAATAACATACAAAAAAATATTCAATTAAAGATTCACAAAATGGTCTCATGCTGTACAACATGTAACATTCAGGTCCAAACAGCCAAAGTAGAATCAAGAATGCTTGCTATATTTTTTCCTCCAAATTGGTCCATATAATAAAAAATAAAATAAATCTGCAGTTTAAATCACTAAATGCAGAATGTCACAATTAAGGCTAAAATTGCTAGTCTGTAATTCTAACCAAATTGAGGAATTATTATTTTTTTTTTTTACACAAATTTTTAGTCTACGTTTTGACAATTAGATTTCAATGTGTTACATTTCGATTATGGTAGATAAATTCAATTGTTGCCATAAATTCCTTATCACAATTCCTGCCTTTCAAGAGCAGGAAAACAATTACCCTTGTACCAGCCAGAGACACAATCAATATATTATAATACTGTTTCATTATAGATAGAGGAATGCTGAAATTAGGCTCTCTATAGAGAGACAGATCTAGACAGATGTGCCTACAGAGAATTTAGGTAGACAGGTACATCGTTTTATATATATATTATATATATATATATATATATATATATACACACACACACACACACACACACACAGAGAGAATGTTAAGCTGCATATAATGCATTATATAAAAAGAAATTGTGTCAAACACATACAAAACTGTTACAGTTATTATGAACGGTAAAAAAGCATAATGGAATGATGGTGGTACTAGTGATAATATGCACTATTGCATCCAAGTGCTTATGGGAATTTAAAAAAAAAATTTTTTAAGTGCTTTGTGAAAATGAGAGCATTGCTATTTTATTAATTTTCATTTCATTTTAAAGAAATCAGATAGCAACGTGCTTTAAAAAAAAGGGACACTGTTATAATGTATATCACAACTCTTAAGTAACAATATTATAAACACTGTAGATGTCTGTTTGCACACAACAACGTGAGGCTTTTTGTTTGCATTTATTAGTCCACCGATCATGCCGAGAGTGATATTCAATAAATATTGTATTTTCGCTCCCAGTGCCATGAGTACTGGGATGTATCTGTGTAATGTGCCATTGATTAGGTTATAGTACATTAATCTCTTAATGGAAAACTCACATCGTGGCACTGCAACCTACTCTCAGCAGGAAAATAATTAAGAAGTGTATTCACTAAAATGAGAATTCTAGGTAAATTCAAAGTGAACGTCAAGGTTAAGGCGAAAATAGCCAAAATGGAAAAATCTGCTAAGTCAGATATGCTTTCAATTTGGCTACTCTGGCTTTAAATTTGAAATTCTCTTTGATTTCACTTTCATTTTGAACTCTCACTTTAGTGAATAATATGTTTAATTGTAAAAACAGAACAAAAAAAAGTATATATAAAAAACTAATGTTTGAAGGAATGTATAAACAAAAAAAACAAATGGGAATTGTGCTATTTTGTAAGTGAGGCAAAGATAAATTTACACAAATGTGCACACAATTACTTTGCACCAATCTGGAATGTGGAACAACAACAAAAAAAAAAACCAACAAAAAAACTTTTGTTTAGCCAAATTGATGACTATTAGCCAAGTTGCAAGATTTTCTACTGGAAAGGAAGCTAAAGCTCAGTGCAATGGATTTAATTCCAGCCCTTATATACCTTCAATGTATACTCCAATCTGCCCTGCAAATGCAAACCCCAAGGTTATCTGTACACAGCAGGATTGTAGCATGTAATTCATCCTGCCGAGCATTATTGCAGCAGAGATACAATGTCATCTGACAATAGAATGTTGGATTTACTGAAGAGATTCCTTAAACGCTCCAAATCACCATCGGCAAAGCATGTTCACAATGACAGTGTCTCTTTAAGAGTGTATGTTTCCATTTTCTGGCTAGCAGATTCAAGAACATTGACCAGAGAAATCGTTTGATCTAGACTGGAGAGGTTTTTTTTTTTAAACTCTATAGTTCTACCCAGGGATCTGCCAGACTGTTCTCAGAGGGCACGCCAAACCAGTTTAGATATAAGCCCAGCTTTCTCAGTGAAGCCTATCGGTACTCATGTTACATTTAACGGGCTCTTGCTGTGCCAGCTCAGCTGTCCTCTTCGTCATCACTGATGAGGTCTCTCCTCTCTGGGTGAGTCTCCCGCTCCCTTATGAAGTCTGCACGGATGCTGTCCAGCTCTAACAGCTCCAGTCTGACTTTCTCCAAGTGGTATGCACGCCGGTTTCGGATCTGCCTCAGCGGAAATGGATTCATGTCCAAAAATGCCATGTTACTCAGCTTCCTGAAACAATGGAGTTTTAGCACGGTATTACAATTCACAAAAATGAAATTACAGTAGAAACTTGAAAATCTTTAGCTGTTAACTTTACTAAATTCCAACTCGAGTGTTCACTCGTGGACCCCAAATGTTTAGGAAATTAGTTCATTTAAAAGAGAGTGTGAAGTTCAAACTATTTAATTAAAAAACCCTACAACAAAACAAGTGATGGGCACAGCCATACAGTTACACTAAACGTGCAAGATTGTACAACGTTACACTAAATGTGCAAGATTGTACAAAGATACACTAAACGTGCAAGATTTACAAGCATGCATTGCAAGTACCTAGCTTTGATGTTATAACAGACCCATCAAGAATCCCCCTAATTACAAAAATGATATAACCTTGTCTGCTCCTTGGGATCCGATAGTTGGAGATTTCGATTGGTTTGTGTGATTTAATATCAAGCATGCACCTCATGTTTTTATCCGCAATGATATAGGACTATATGGGTTTACTTAGTTCATACCTTGCATCCAAGATCGTGCGACTGAAATATCGCAGGTATTTAAATATGGACATCGAGTCTTGCAGCTTCAAAATGTCCTCCTCTTTGTACTTAAATAAACCCAGAGCAAAGCGGAACATCACCTGGTTTAAAAATACAGCATTCAATAAATGTTACACTCAGACAATGAATTCATTCTTACCCATCACTTCTTTTGAAGGCAAAAAAGGAAGTCCGTTCGTACTATCTTACAAATGGTAACACAAGTGATCAATGATGGACTGATAAATAGTTGAACACAGACCTTATCAATACTATGCAAGAAGAACTCTGCAGTCAGCAGAATTTCAGACCAGTTCTGCCGACTGCAGAATAATAATTTTAGACTAACGTCACATTTTTAGTTTGAATTTTCTTATGAAATTAAAGAAAATTTACTTTATTTTGTTTTTAATAGAGGAGAGGTTAATCTGAGTGCTATCAGCATAAAGTTGCTACTAGCATCTGTAGGAAATGGCAAGATTCCCCAGGAGGAAGTGGTAAGTGAAAACAGAAATAGTTTCAGAATAAGACCTTGCTATACTTTAAAGTCACTTTAAAAAAAAAAAGTTTTTTAAATAGTCATGTCCAAAATCCTCCTTTGGCTGCTCTGCATATCTTGTTTTTTTAATGAGGTTTATTTGCAAAGTTATACGTAAGGAAATGTAGGGATTACTTTTTCTTATATATACCCTGCAGGTTGACATAAGTTGAGAAAGGGTTGAGCTTTAGTCAAGCCTCCCATCATTTGTCAACTTTATCATTTGATGTCAAGTTAATACTCACCTCCTCCCAGTTGGAACTCTAGAGTCATCTGAGGTCTGTAAGCACTAGGCATGCATGTGAGCTGGGCCTCTGTTAATATCATGATAGAGTCTGCATGAGATCCTGTGTGTGATTACAGTTCAATTAACAAAGCAGGACATGAAACCTTCTAAAAGTAAACACACTGTGCTGCAAGATCTGATTAAAATGCAGCCAATTTGTTTTCATGCAGGCTCGGTCAGTCACAGCCACAGGAGGTGTAGCTAGGGTTCTATAAACAGTAACAAAAATGAATGAACTCCTAAATAGCAGAGAACTGAGCAGTGAGACTGCAGGGACATGATCTATAAGCCAAACCTGCTTAATTGAGCTAAAGTTGGTTTGGTGACTACGGTGTTCCTTTAAGTCTACATTGTCTGTATACAATGGACCAGCCAAGCACAAACTTGTGGATGAGAACACTGGCAGCAGACATAGTATAAAAATGAAGCTTGCCTGATGTGGCTGGAAATCGGCATACATGCATTTAACAGCCTGCCATCATATACAGTATTTTTTGCTCTATAAGAGGCACATTTTTCCCCCTCAAAAGTAAGGGGAAAGGTCTGTGCGTCTTATAGAGTGAATAAGTTTACTTAACTGTATTGTAGCGTGGGCCGGCAGAACAGCGTGCACCATGGTACAGGAACTTAAATTTCAGTTTCCGGACGGAATGAAAGGAAGTGCGCACTCCGTGTGTGCACTTCCTTTCAGTCCAGCCGGGTACCAGACACTGAAATTTAAGTTCCTGTACTGCGGTGCGCGCTGTTCTGCCGGCCGACGCTACAATACAGTTAAGTAAACCTACTTGGATCACTATGGGACAAGGGGAGGAACACTATTGGATGAGTAGAGGGGCAGAACACTATGGGATGAGGGGGGAGGGGGAGAACACTATTGGACAAGGGGAGGGGGTGGAGAACACTATTGGACAGCAGGGGGGGTTAAAGATCACTATGGGACAGGGGAGGAGGGGTTAAAGATCACTATGGGACAGGGGAGGAGGGGTTAAAGATCAATATGGGACAGGGGAGGAGGGGTTAAAGATCAATATGGGATAGGGGAGGGGGGTTAAAGATCACTATGGGACAGGGGAGGGGTGATTAAAGATCACTATGGGACAGGAGAGGGGAGTGGGTGGTAAGGAACACTACGGGACGGGGGGGGTGTTAAACACTATGGGACAGTTTGTTCAGAATATTTTTTTCCTGGGTTTCCTCCTCTAAAAACTAGGTGCGTCTTATGGTATGGTGCGTCTTATGGAACGAAAAATACGGTACTTAGTGCTGCAGCCAACAGTGACATCGCTGCTAAGGGTGCAGTGGACGAGAGGGAAGCAGGCAATGGTGAGTTCTTGGCTGAACCTGTTCCCCATGGGTGCCGCCATCTTGTCCTGCTGAGTGCTCTTCAGCTCCTGGAGCTTCAGAGCTGAAATCACGGCTAAACTCTTGCGCATGCACAATAATACAGCATTGAGGTCCAAGGAGGATTCCACGGCCTCCGTAGATAAAGCCAATTCCCTGCAGCTTTCACTGGTGTCTAGACGTAATGTATACTTTGTCTCAGTAGATCTCTTGACTGGGATGGAATTATGTCAATATGAGTATTCTATCTTTATGAAACACTCATATTTCAGGGGGGACAGAGCCACTTTACAAACACCCCAAATCACGGTCTGTACAATCCACTAACATTGTTATCAATTAATTCAGTGTTTCCCAGTAGTCTATGAAAAACTCTCCGCTATTATCTCACTGGAGAAAACTTTCTTGATAATCTGGAAACTATTGGCAGATATTTTTTTAGCGTGACCATGCAAGCTAGCTGTGAAATGATAAGTCAACGTGTAATGGCGGAAATTGACTCTCATCAGATTAATGCCGCTATTAAATGTCATTTTATTTACAGAGTAATTACTGTGAACAGTAAGAGAGCGGACACACTGACCTTGGATCCCTCGTACAGGAAGGAATCCCAAATCCTGAAGAAGATGTCACTGACCACACTGTCAACAAACACCACCAGGAACCAGTTAAATGTGATCAGCGTGTAATCCACCTTGTATTGTTCGAAGTGCGCGCTGAGACGTGGCAGTTTCTCACTCATCAGGTCCTTGAACACTCTCTGGTCCACCTACATCACCATAATGTGCAAATTAAATCTCCTGGGTCAGTTATGAATCATTTGTGGATATACAGAATGTGTATATATATACACACACACACACACACACACACACACACATACACACACACACTGCTGATGTTATAATATTTGTATTTTTCTCTCCAATGGAAATAGTAAAAGTAGTCAAACATAACCTCTTTTTCTCTCAATGTTGCCAACCAGGATTGCGCCGTACAACCTCATCATATAGCGGATGGGTGAGAAGGAAATGGGAATATAGGGAGGCTGCGTGGCTGGAGGGAAGGCAGAGGGAGGCAGCGTGGCTGGAGGGAAGGCAGCGGGAGGCAGCGTGGCTGGAGGGAGGGCAGCGGGAGGCAGCGTAGCTGGAGGGAGAACCTTAGCGGGAGGCAGCGTGGCTGGAGGGAGGCAGCGGGGCAGCGTGGCTGGAAGAGAACATGAAGGGAGAGCAGCGTAGCTGGAGAGACAGCCAGAGGCAAGCGTAGCTGGAGGAGAACGCGGGGGAGGCAAGCGTAGCTGGAGGGAGGAGAACAGCGGGGAGAGCAAGCGGTAATGGAGAGGAGAACATGGGAGCGGTAGCCTGGAGGGAGAACATGGGGAGGCAGCGTGTAGCTGGAGGGAACAGCGGGAGGCAAGCGTGGCTGGGAGGGAGAGGGCAGCGGGGAGGCAAGCGTGGCTGGAGGGAGGAGGAGCAGCGGGGAGGCAAGCGTGGCTGGAGGAAGGCAGAGAGGCAAGCATTAGCTGGAGGGAAGCAGAGGGAGGCAAGCGTAGCTGGGCCGGAAGGCAGAGGAGCAGCGTGGCTGTAGACGGAGGCAGAGGAGGCAGCGTGGCTGGAGGGAGGGCAGCGGGAGGCAGCGTGGCTGGAGGGAGGGCAGCGGGAGGCAGCGTGGCTGGAGGGAAGGCAGAGGGAGGCAGCGTGGCTGGAGGGAAGGCAGAGGGAGGCAGCGTGGCTGGACGGAAGGCAGCATGAGGCAGCGTGGCTGGAGGGAAGGCAGCATGAGGCAGCGTGGCTGGAGGGAAGGCAGCATGAGGCAGCGTGGCTGGAGGGAAGGCAGAGGGAGGCAGCGTGGCTGGACGGAAGGCAGCGGGAGGCAGCGTGGCTGGAGGGAAGGCAGCGGGAGGCAGCGTGGCTGGAGGGAAGGACGGGAGACAGCGTGGCTGGAGGGAGGGCAGCGGGAGGCAGCGTGGCTGGAGGGAGGGCAGCGGGAGGCAGCGTGGCTGGAGGGAGGGCAGCGGGAGGCAGCGTGGCTGGAGGGAGGGCAGCGGGAGGCAGCGTGGCTGGAGGGAGGGCAGCGGGAGGCAGCGTGGCTGGAGGGCAGTGGGGCTAGAGGAAGGGCAGCGTGAGGCAGCTTGGGTAGAAGGAGGGCAAAGGGAGGCAGCTTGGGTAGAAGGAGGGCAACGGGAGGCGGCGTGGCTAGAGGGAGGGCAGCGGGAGGCGGCGTGGCTAGAGGGAGGGCAGCGGGGCTGGAGGGCAGCGGGGCTAGAGGAAGGGCAGCGTGAGGCAGCTTGGGTAGAAGGAGGGCAAAGGGAGGCAGCTTGGGTAGAAGGAGGGCAACGGGAGGCGGCGTGGCTAGAGGGAGGGCAGCGGGAGGCGGCGTGGCTAGAGGGAGGGCAGCGGGGCTGCAGTTGAAAGCAAAATACAAATATTAAGAGTTTACGGTCGTAAATGTGGTAGAAAATATGACATGGTATGGGACCAAACATACAGATGGAGAAGAAAGACATTGTGTTTATTGAGGATTATGGCTGGTTTGGGCATTTGGCTATGAGAATGATAGAGTTAAAGAAGTTGGCAGATATAGTACAGATCTCGAAAGACATAAGAAGAGCCTGAAATACATTCTGCGACAAACATGGGGGCTTTATAAATTATTCTATACTGGTTAAATAAGGACTAGCAAAATGTTCCTCTGTGCCAGTAAATCAAAATGGTTAAAAACCTGGAGGCATTTACCTGGGATCCCTGCAGCGTTTTAGTATAATAATCCCTTGGCATGAAGATCTCAACAATGGTTACCAGGCACCAGAAGGCATCCTCCTGGTCAAGGTAAAGAAGAGCAATGGCAGCCAGCCTAGAATGGAGAGAAACCCACCTTTTAGTACATGGCACAACTCACACAATGTGTATACAATATTCTCTGCACAATGACACCTCACACCATGTATACAATATTCTCTGCACAATGACACCTCACACCATGTATACAATATCCTCTGCACAATGACACCTCACACCATGTATACAATATCCTCTGCACAATGACACCTCACACCATGTATACAATATCCTCTGCACAATGACACCTCACACCATGTATACAATATCCTCTGCACAATGACACCTCACACCATGTATACAATATCCTCTGCACAATGACACCTCACACCATGTATACAATATTCTCTGCACAATGACACCTCACACCATGTATACAATATCCTCTGCACAATGACACCTCACACCATGTATACAATATCCTCTGCACAATGACACCTCACACCATGTATACAATATCCTCTGCACAATGACACCTCGCACAATGTATACAATATTCTCTGCACAATGACACCTCTCACAATGTATACAATATTCTCTGCACAATGACACCTCTCACAATGTATACAATATTCTCTGCACAATGACACCTCTCACCATGTATACAATATTCTCTGCACAATGACACCTCACACCATGTATACAATATTCTCTGCACAATGACACCTCACACCATGTATACAATATTCTCTGCATAATGATACCTCACACAATGTGTATACAATATCCTCTGCACAATGATACCTCACACCATGTATACAATATTCTCTGCACAATGACAAAATCACACCATGTATACAATGCCCAATGCATAATGACACATTACTCTATATTGAGTTTAAATTGCACACACCATGTATACAATACAGTGCCATCTGCACAATGACAAAATCACACAATATGTACAGTGTTCTCGGTGTTCCTTTTACACAAACAGACATAGTGTCTCAAACTCCCAGACTTTACACAAGCAGAATGTTAAACCAGAAAATTATTCCTTCACAAGGTCAAAATCTCCTCCCGGACTATATTCCTAGTTACAGAATGTAAACATTAATGGAAAGATCCACAACAGTGATCGTGCATGCGAGTTAGAAAAGATTAAAGTCTCTCCGTATGTTTTAGAATAGGTTTGGAAAATTTGAAGCCCCCATAGATCTATTCTCACCGAAACAAGTGAAGTAACACACACACACACACACACTAAAATTCTAAGTTTTCAGTAGTAGGAGAGGTGAACTAATCTGTATGTCTCACCTAAGTATCACCTAAATATTAATTGCCCCTGGAATAAGTTTGACCATTAACGTCTGTTTGAGATAGGGGAGGCTAATAATCCTGCAAATTATTTCTCTACCAATGAGTTCTCCTTTTTGGGACAGAATTTAGCATACATTTAACAAATATATCTCTTAAATAGTCCACGTAACGATTGTTCGAGTGGATTCTCCATCTAAGTTTCTAAAGACTGTATTGGACATGCAAGACAAATACACATTTTAGTACATGCATGTATAGGACACAAGTGCACAAACAAAATATCATTGCTGTGATTATTTTTATAAGACACTCGGAAAATCACAGAACACACCGATTGAGTCCCTGGCAGTAGCCTATATCTGGATTCCTCCATGAATAAGCCAACAAGACATTGCGTAGCTTCTGAATGCCCTCTGAGGTGGGCGAGGTGTAGTGCTTATTGTTGGGCAGAGTTCTCATGAGGTCCAGCTCTATTTGTTTTGATGCTGGGTTCTGTTTCACCAAGGCATTCTGGAGAAGGTTTTGGAAGTATCCAGGAGGTACTCCATCCTTGAGTTTCTTGATGTGCAGATTAATAAACCACTTCCACATTTTTGATCTATGCATGTGAGGGATTCCATTTCTGACCAGACCCTTCAGCTCTGGAGAAGGCACCATCTCACGATTAACTGTGCTGGCAAAATAGTTTTCCCATTTGACAAATGTAGAAATCTCCTGGTTGTCAGTGAGGGACAAGTTCCTTAGTTCCAGAGCCCTTACTCTTGCCACTAATTTTTCCTCATCATCGTCTTCGGGAAGAATCTGAAATCCATAGATATCATATTTGCTGGAAAAGAAAGAAGGTTTTTTGAGAATTTTACACACTTAACTAGAAGAAATGCAATGGTTATATGGCTCAGGAAGAGTTTCTTTTTTTTTTTTTTTTAACTACTGGTCCCTTATGGATGGTTATTCATTAAATTAGAAATTTTATATTTGTTGAAGCCAAAATAGCCAAACTGGAAAACATCTCCAAATTAGTTACAGAGTTTGGCTCATCTTTCCTTAAATTTGATATTCACACTGAATTCCCATCAATTCTTTATTTAGCATCAGGTCCCTATTTCTCCTCTGAGGATCATTGAGAGGTGAACAGTGCAGAGGGAAAAGGGTAATTAAAACCATTATTTTATAAATTTTCATTTGAAGCTGGGGGGCAAAAAAGGGACATGGGCGCTATAGTGTTAGGGTTACAGGTTTATATTTCTAATGCGATCGTGTTCCTTTAACCTTTTTTCTTTTTCTTTGAAATGTATATAAAAAATTTAACAAGTTGCATCACAATCCAGTTGAGTCCTGGCACATACAAAAAATACATTGTATTGAGGTGAAGAAACTGAAATGCGGATTCCATCCTCCACCTCTCTCTTTGCTGACTGCAGATGCAAAGGTCACAGCTTATAACAATGACTGAAGGAGATAAGATGGAGGATAGAGCTCATCTATCCATCTCGCAATACGTCATCAAGGAGACATGGCTTTCACCAGTGTTGGTCCAATCCAGTGCTCCTCAGAGGAGAAACAGGGACCTGATATGAATGATCGGCAAGCGTACATCCAATGCTTGTCATTTGAGCTGCTACATCACATGCCTTCGATGGGCTTTGGCCTCTTAACTGGTGTTAAAATCTATGTACTTTTGCGAACAGGAAAAACAACCAAAATAATGTAGCTCAGCTGCTAATGTACATCAACCTCACAGCCTATCACTGTTCTCTTATTATTGTATAGTATATTAAAGCTGTGCTACGGGAACAGACAACAACAGGACAATGATTGGCTGTGGCGTTGAGTCATGTGAGCAACTCAGCTCAAACTGACCTTTGATTGGCTGAGCCGAGTACATCTATAAGGAAGCGGCTCTTGGAAAGGAGAGGAGAGGTCTGGTTAATAGGAGGAGTTATGCTGGAAAACATTTTTTCTTTTTACGCAACACTAAAAGAGATTTGATTGTGGAGAAAACTACAGTAGAAATATAAGGCCAAAAGCTATGCAATGCACTTAAGTTGTGTTGTTGCCCAGAGTGTCCTTTTAATTTGTTTTTTTTCAGGCATCACAAACACATATTTATTAAAAAGCCTGTAAGGTGACAACCCGGATGAAAAAAAAAAAAAGAAGAATTTTTCCTTAACTTCCTACCTGACAATTTGAGGCCTGATAAAGGTGTGTTCGGGAAGTTCTGCAGTCTCCACTTTAAGTGCATCTTCTATCAACTGATTCACAACCTCCCTTGCAGGTCCTTGGCCATCAGAATACACAGGAGTTTTCATTTCTTGCAAAAGCACAAGATACTTACTTTCAATCTGACACATCTTGGCCTCTAGATTTGAATACTGAAGAAGGAACAGAGAGGCATGACTTGGTAAAGCTTTCTCCAGAATAACTTACAGTTAGTAAACTCTTTGATTCTGTATCTAGAGTCCATTAAAACCATTTTAAAACCTTTCAAATACTCTAGATTGTTCACTAATCATTCGAAATTCACAAGGTAATTGAAATTTATACAAAAATAGCAAAATTGGGAAAATATTCCAACTAAGCAATTTGTCCTTGAATTTTCAATTCCCTGGTGAATTTAATACAATTCACTTTTTTCGGTCTCCAAATTAGTACCTTTGCCTCAAATTCTTGTTCTCGTCGTTCAGAGTTTCTCCGCAATGCAGAAAGCTCCAATATTTCTTTATTGAGAAACTTGTTTTGTGCTTTGTAGCCCTGTAGGCTGTCCTATGAAAACAAAACGAAAATAGCCATGTCAATACTAAATTGTATGCGTTCATTCATGCAATATTAAATTCTGTCTTTATTATTATAGGTATTAATATAACGCCAACTTATTCTGTAGAGCTTTCGAATATTACTGAAGGGTGAAATGTAACAATAAGAGGGGCAATTACAAAATGATACCGGAACCATAGGTAGATGTGGACCCTGCTCAGATGAGTTTACAGTCTAGAGGAGTGAAGTACAAGGGTGTAAAGCACTGCGGCATAAGGGGGCACTATATAAATACCAATAATAATAATAATGCAATAGGGAGCTATCAAGAGGAACAATAAACAAACAAGGTGGGAATCTGGAGGTAAGGGGGTGTAGTTCTTTAGGAGAGAGCCAGAGACATATTTGTGACATAGAAGTTACCGTATTTTCCGGCATACAAGACGACCCCCAACTTTTCCAGTTAAAATATAGTTTGGGATATACTCGCGGTATAAGACTACCCCTCTTCCAATGCACACCAAATAAAAATTAGCCATGATGTACAGTGAGCAGACAGAGCTACACAGCAAGACATTAAATAATGATCTGAAATAGCATTTAAAGCCCAGGTATGTGCCAGGCTGTTTGGGCACATAATCCATGCCTGCTGGTCTAGCACACAGTAGGCTAATTGCGATATATTCTTTTTACTCCCCCCCCAATCCTCCCTACATTCTTCTCACCTCCCCTTCCCTGTGCAGAGTGGGTGGCCGAGCTCCTCTTCGTCCTGTCAGTCCGGCCGGGTACCGCGCGGTACAGGAGATTCAGTTACCTGTTCCCGGCCGAACTGAAAGGAAGTGAGCACTCAGGCTGAAAGGACGAAGAGGAGCTCGGCCACCCACTCTGCACAGGGAAGGGGAGGTGAGAAGAGAGGCAGTGCGGCAGCCGTCTGAGCGCTCTCTATAGAGCGCTCAGGCGGCTGCAGCATTAGAAGTGCAGGCGATGGGGGCGCAGGGCGCCCCCCGGCAGCCATATAAACCCTATATCCAGGTATGAGAGGAGTAACATTCATTACAGTACGGCAGTATGGCTTCTGAGGAGACCAGTTAGGAGAATATTAAGTAATCCATGCGAGAAATTACCAGAGCATGAACAAACTCCTTGGCAGCATCTTGCCTTAGGAAAGAGGCTGATGCGGGAAATGTTTTTAAGGTGGAATCGACATGTTATAGAAACATACTGGGTATGAGGTGCAAAGGTGAGGCCAGGATCAAAGAGAACACCAGTTAGAGTGATTGAGTTTCAGAAAGTGGGAGGACATCCAAATCAGAGATTAAGAGAGATCAGAGGAAGAGAGATAGATCTGGGTGTTATCGGTGTACAGGTGGTAGCAGAAGCCAAAGGAATTCATGAGTTTGCCAATAGAGGCAGTATACAGAGAGAACAGAAGGGGATACAGAACATTAAACACATTTCTATTGTGCAAAAAAATAAAATATGGAAAATGCCACACAGGAAAAGCAAGAAAATGGAATGGAAAAGAAAAAAAAAAATAGAAAAGCTATTAAGTTAAGTTTCTCCCTGGGGTTAACCTGTCTACTATGGATGGGGTATCCAGTGAACATTGTGTCGGAAGTAAAACAAACTGAAGGTAGACTGTCCTTTTAACAAAAATATAAAGTACAAGGATTTCCATTTAAGTTCCCATGTCTGGCAGACTATTCTGCATTCAATAAAGATGTTAAACCTCTGTCACACAGCCAAGGCATTTAACTACTCAGATAAAATAACCCTGGATCAGCCTTTTTTCTGAGGCCAACACAATCTTAACATGCTCTGATTCATTGTACTTAATGTCCTCCAACACTTGTTATTGCTTAAAACATTCCATATACATTCACTGACACATTCACTCTCTGCCAAGCCTCTTCCAAGAGCTGATCTGTACATTTAGCACACATGCACGATGGGATTTATTCACTAAACAGCAAATTGTAATTATTATTTTATTATTTATATAGCGCCATCAGATTCCGTAGCGCTGTACAATGGGTGGACTAACAGACACGTAATTATAACCAGACAACTGGACGTACAGGAACAGAGAGGTGGAGGGCCCTGCTCAATGAGCTTACATTCTAGACATCGTGCATGTGTGCTAAATAGTGACACAAAGGGTAAAAGTAGGTTGTTAGAAAAGTATTCACTGAGGGCTTAGTAAGAGATTTTTGCAGGAGAGGAGTCATGGGGGGTGGGGGATAAAAAAAACTGCTAACAGTTTAATTGATATGCTTTCTTGAAGTGAGTTTTCAATGATTTTTTGAATGAGTGGAGACTTGGTGAAAGTCTTTCGGATAAGGGAAGGGTGTTCCGCAGAAGAGGTGCAGCCCTGGAGAAATCTTAGAGGCAAGCATTAGAGGTGGGAGTAAGGACAGAGGATAAACGTAGGTCTTTGACAGAGCGTTGGGGCCTCGACGGGTCATACTTGTGTATTAGGGAGGATAGGTATGTTGGAGCAGCATTATGTAGGGACTTGTAAGCAAGCACCAGAATTCTAAATTAAGCCCTATATCTAACTGGAAGCCAATGCAGGGACTGGCAGAGTGGGGAGGCATGGGTATTGCAGTAGTCAAGGCGAGAGAGAACAAGAGCATGGACCAGCACCGTAGCCGCATCCGGGGTTAAATAGTGGCGTATGCGCGCTATATTTTGAGATGGAAGCGACAGGATTTGGCGATTGATTGGACATGAGAGGTGAAGGAGAGGTTGGAGTCAAAAAGAACACCCAGGCAGCGAGCCTGTGAGGTAGAGGTGATGGTAGCGCCGTTGACTTGGAGGGAGACAGAAACGGGAGTAGTAACACTTGAGGGAGGAAAGACCAGAAGTTCTGTTTTGGACAGGTTGAGTTTAAGGAAGTAAGCAGCCATCCAGCTGGAAATCGAAGAGAGGCAGTCAGAGACACGAGTCAAGATGGGCGGAGAGAGATCAGGAGAGGACAGGTAGATTTGCGTGCCATCCACAGAGAAATGATAACGGAAGCCAAAGGAGCTGATGAGTTTACCAAGGAAGGCAGTATAGATAGAGAACAGTAGGGGATCAAGGACAGAACCTTGGGGGATGCCGACAGAGTTGTTGGGGAAGAGGCAGAGTCTGAGAAAGGAACACTCAAAGAGCGCTGGGAGAGGTGGGAGGAGCACCAGGAGAGAGCAGTATCCTGTAGACCAAAATTACGGAGAATGTGAAGAAGCTGTTGATGATCAACAGTGTCAAAGGCAGCAGAAAGATCAAGGAGAATTAGGATGTAGTAATGGCCTTGAGATTTAGCAGCAATTAAATTATTGCATACTTTGGTCATAGCGGTTTCGACAGAATGACCAGTGTGGAATCCAGACTAAAGGGGGTCAAGCAGAGAGTTGGATTCGAGAAAGTCAGTCAGTCTGGTGTACACAACTCTCTCGAGGATCTTGGAGGCAAATGGCAGTAGCGAGATAGGGTGGTAGTTGGATGGGGAGTTGGGGTCAAGGCTGGGTTTTCAGAATTGGGGTTACAGTTGCATGTTTGAAGGGTGAGGGAAATGTGCCAGAGGAAAGGGAGAGATTGAAAATTTTTGTGAGAAGAAGAGCAAGGCAGGGAGACAAAGTGCGGACGAGATATGAGGGAATACCATCGAGTGAACAGGTGGGGGGGGGCGGGAGGACCGGAGCAGAGCAGAAACCTCTTCTGCTGTAGCAGGTGCGAATGAGTGTAGAATGGTGGAGGGAGTGGGGTTGGGCGATGTATTGGTAGGGGAAGGAGAGAAATTAGCGATCTCTTCTCTGATTGTAGAGATCTTCTCAGTGAATTGAGATGCAAAGTTTGTGGCGGACAAGGTGGTAGAAGGAGGGGAAGTAAAAGAGCAAAGAAGAGCATCAAAAGTGTGAACTAGGTGTTTGGGTTGATGGGACAGTGTACTTATGCGGGTGTTAAAGTAATTTACTTTTGCAGCAGAAAGAGCCAGGCTGTAGGAGCGCAGCATAAATTTATAGTGGAGGAAGTCATATGCAAAGTGAGACTATCTCCAGCAGCGTTCAGCAGTTCTAGAACATTTTTGGAGGTAACGGGTCAGCTTGGTGTGCCAGGGTTGTAATTGGGGGCGCTTGCTGCGTTTAATTGTAGGAGGTGCCATGATGTTGAGTTGAGAGGAGAGAGCTGAGTTGTAGAGTGAGGTTGCAGAGTTAGGGCAAGTTAGATTTGAGATGGGAAAAAGGTGAGTTTGGAGTTTGGTGGAGAAATGCTGGAGAACAAGGCAGTTGAGGTTTCTGCGAGATTGGAGAGTTGAGGGTGGTGAGATTTGGGTGCGGGGTATGCTGATGTCAAATGTTAGCAGATGGTTGTCAGACAAAGGAAATGGAACAGTGGAGAGATTAGAGGTGGTACAGAGATTGGTGAAGATGTGGTCAAGAGTGTTTTCTGCTGTATGAGTTACTAAAGTAGACAACTGCGTGAGGTCAAAGGAGGAGGTTACAGAGAGCAGATGGGAGGCATCAGGGCATTTGAGGTTGTTGACGCTGTTAACATCGCCGATTTACAGAACTTTTCCAAATCAGCCCACTTTGCCAACATTTTAAAATTTGTTTTTTAATTGCAATTTCACACTATTTGGTGTTAATTAACCGTTAGAAGCAGGGTTCCAGATGAAAGGCCAAGTAGAACTCCACAGTTTGTTCTTTACTCAAGGAATGCTGAATACAGAGCTACATTTAAAAGGCATATTCAAACAAACTGCCTCGCTGAATCACATTTCTGTAATAGCAAATAGATCTGAAATAAATCCATCAACGCGCTGTAAAATACAAGGTGACATGATTTGATTTTATACACTACAAAAGAGTTTGTGGAGAATTACCAAGGTAACTAACTGTGTAGTCCAAACAATACAAAAGGAGAAAAAAAAAAATATATCAAACCAGCCATTATTCTAATTCAGTTATGTTGATCTAAAATCTGAAATTCTGTTGTCAATTTTTCTCAACTCCCAATTTAGTGAATAAACCCATATTGTAATTTTGTCTTAAAAACTGGTTTAAGATGATTTCAGAGTCAAAACTTGTGTTTTGTTTTTTATCCTCAAGCAATGTTATTATTTTACAACAAAACGAGGCAAATATTTTCCTTAAAGGAGCACTATCGAGCCAGGAAAACAAACTCTTTTCCCTGGCATTATATGGTTATTAGGTTCCCCCTTCCCGCTGGGCTGAAGGGGTTAAAAAACCCCTTCAACAACTTCCTTTAATCCAGTGCCGGGCTCCCTCTGCGCTGGTGACCTTTCCTCTCCACGCCAACGTCAGCGTGCATTCAAACCACCCACAGGAAAGCATTACTCAATGCTTTCCTATGGACGTCCAGCGTGAGTTCAATGCGATTTTCACATTGAGGATCGCGGAAGGAGACAGCCACTAGAGGCTGGATTAACCCTCAATGTAAACATGGCAGTTTCAGCTGCAGGGTTAAAACCTGGGGGACCTGGCACCCAGACCACTTCATTGAGCTGAAGTGGTCTGAGTGCCTAGAGTGGTCCTTTAACTCTCTTTACTAAACTCCAACAGTTGCACATATCATAAAGAGGAGATAATATAAGATCTTGTAACCAGAAGCACCTCCTCTTTCTTTGCAGTTTTGTTCTCCTGTAGCTCACACTAAGCATTACTGTGAATTTGCGTGTGTGTCAAGCTGTAATGTACCTGTAATCTTAAATCTAGCAATGACCAGAGGCAAATATTTGTGCTCCCACACTCCCTCAGTTGGGCTGTTTTCTTTAGCTGTGTTTAGGTTTTTCCTCATTTTATGGTAGACATGTACATTCGGTTGTTGGTCATTTTACGCACGCTATCTATTTCTTGCTATGGCTTTTGTACCATATGCTTCTGTGCATGTGTTTTGCCATATTTCCTATATATTGAGATTTTTTGTGATGGTGATCTCTTACTTGCATTGTTAATATGTGATGTATTGCTCCTATGCTTGTGATTTAGATTATGGTCCATTTTGAGATACCTTTCACATATTTTCACTTGATATCCTGTTCCTATGAGTCTGGAGTTTCCAGTTTCAGCTATGTGATGGGATTGGCTGGTTTCTAATTTAAGGCTGTTCCCAATTGTTGAATTTGTTGATTACAACCTTGGAACACCAAAGAAAGAGGATGTGCTTCTGGGAACAAGGACTTATATTTCCTCCTACTTGTTTTTGATTGGTTGATGTACTCCGTATGATTTGAACTGCTGTTGGAGTTTAGTATAGGGAGTTAGGCAAAATATTCACCTCCTGTCATTACTAAAATAAAAGTTTATAGGTACACTAAAGCTAGAATAATATTCATTTATATTTTCACATAATAAATCTATATATGGTTTCTCAGTAAAAAAAAAAAAATCGGCATAACAAAATAATTTCTAAATCTGACAGCCTTTACTTTACTCCCCTAAGGGAACCCCCCCAAAAAAGGAGTATTTATTATTATAATTTATATAGTGCCAACTAATCCCTCAGTGATTTACAATATTACAATAGTTGAGACTATTAAAAATTGTTACAGGAATAATAGGTGGACGAGGAACCTGCTTCCTATCTATGAATCATACAAAGATGGCAGTCATTCAATACAGCAAAATAATAATTAATACAGTTCTCTCAATCGTGTGTTTATTATTTGTTTAAGCAGTCTGCACACCCCTGCCAGTGTTGACAGCCTTTTGCAGACACCTTCACTTGCTCTCTAAAGACACCAGTTTTCGAAGCATTGCTGGAAATCACGTGCTATCTGTAAAGTCTGGACTTGTTAATGCCATAGTGTGCAAAAACTCATTTACACAAGGAGAATGAGAATATGTTCAACTGTACAAGTTCCATCATGATCTAAGAAACTTGCAGAGTGGAAAACGTGAAAAAAAAAAAAAAGAGAAAAGTTTCCAAACATGTTAAAAATATTTATATACATTTATTCATGTTCCTTCTTGACATGTATGTACAGCCAGCATGTTTAAAAAAAAAAAAACAACCCCAAAAAAAAACAAAAAAAAAAAAAAACACTGCCACAGTGTTTACAAAAACAAAAGAAATGGTTATGACCAGAAACCTTGCTAATGGGAAGGAACTGAGTGACATTTGTGGGAAGGCCGCTAGCTATAAATTCACCAGAATGTTAAAGTCTCTTCATGTGTGCATGTTCACATACAGTAAGTACAGCCACCTGGCTAACACCAGTTATCTGTGCTATACTGTGTACACGACTGTCAGAGTCTGCAGATGCTTTAGTGAACCCATATACTTTCCCTGTTCATTGCACTGTTTTACACAGAAAATGTATTTAAAACTGAATTTCATATGTATATAAATATTTCTATCATCTTATCACACACAGACTTGGTCACTTACTTGTAGCCGTGTCAGTTCATAAGCATCTGTACATTCAGGGGCCACATTGGATGTGGGAGAGTGCTGCTCATAGTCACTAAGCTGCCTGGACAACCTCATGATGACCTCATCTTTGGCCTGGATGGTCTCCATCATCATGCTAAGTTGTTCTTTTAAGTCCGTAATGCTCATCTGGAGGGTATCAACCTCCTGGTAAAGTTTGTCCTTTTCCTGGGTTTGTTTCTCCAGAAGGTGACTAAACTCCTGCAGTTGAGTGTCTTTTTTCTGTAATAAGTGCAGGTGTTCTTTTGCGATCCCATCACAGAAAGGACTGGCAAAATATTTATCATACTGTGATGACCTCAGTGATTGCTGCAATATCCTCACAAGCTCCTGTAGGAACAATAAAAGGCAATGGTTACTCAACAGTCCATAAACAAAGCTGGAAGCTGGACTTGTATATGGATGGTTCATTCTAGGTTAGTCATTCTGAAGAGGTGACTAACTGTTCTTCTGATAAGGGCAACATACATATGCAAGTCTTGTAATCCATTAAGTGCCAGAATAGTAAAGATGTCAAACCACCTCCCTCCTCTGTACATTCAATGAACAGATTTGTATCCGGACTAAAAATAAAGGTTACGGACATTTTAGATGTACATGGTGAGCTCCATGGCATGTGCCACCAGTAGACTGTACCATCAATCCTTGAAACCTGATTTAATGCATTCCACAGCCTTCACCAATAAGAACACGTGAACTCCTGGGCAGAGACTGGGAATGGGAGGGGGAGAGAGAGCACAGGTGGAATAACATATTAATGGATGAACAACAAAAGTTGGTATGGAACAATGGGATGAGATAGAGCTTTAATGAAAGGAGTATGGTGGACAGATTACTCATATGGTGAGGTGTAGGAGAATCATAGGGAGAGTAAAGAACAACTAGACTTCGAAAAGGATGCAGACAGAAAAGGCTGGAAAGGCTGTCTAGTGGTGATCGAGAGTGGAGTTTCTTGAGAGAACCAGTAGGAACTAGGTTTCAGTTGGAGAAAGAATTGATCTTGATGACTTTGGGACATAGAGAAAATGAAGATGACGATAAAGGAAATAGCAATTAAGGAATTGAAAAAAGGATAAAATAGAAAGCTTCAGTAGAGGCCATGGTGATGAAGGTGAAGAAGCTGAGACGGGGATGAGGATTAGAGGAATGTAAAAGGAGAGTGCTGAATGAAATAACAAAAAGGGACAGTGGGTGAAATGAGGAGAGGGTGAATGAAATAAAGGTCTGGTCGTTCTCAGAGTTATTATCTGATTTCTGAAGCTGACTAGACATTTTGGCTCAATACCATTCATCATCACTTCTCTGTATATTGTTATGAGTCATTCATGCTGTAGGGCGAGATAATTTAAATAGGCTAGCTGCAACACCATGGCTTATGAAAAAGCCTGGAAAAGGATAATGAGGAACCATTTCCCAAACTTGAGTTAACCTATAGGGGGTGTTTTAGTGAACACCTATTAATAACTATACACCCTATCTGCACCGAGGATGCTGGGAGTGGGAGCCCAGACAGCTACAGATGGACATATCTCCAGTCCTGAATTAACCCATAGACAGCTGCATTCCCATCTCAGCTGAGCATGCTGGGAGCAAGTCAACTTGGATTAACCCATTTTAAACCGACCTCAGCTACCATAGTATAATAGCCCTGTAAGTAAGCAGACATCCATAAGGAAGCCAATTTAAACACCGTTCACGTGATTTAAGTAGTTATTTATAGTATCCAGATGGAAAAAGTTACATCCAGATGCAGTAACTCTGTGAAATCCCAGAAAACGCAATGATTAACAGATGTAATTTCCGTTGGGTCGGAGCCGAGATCACAAGACTCCTCTCCAGCTCACGTTTCCTAAATTGTGAGGGTCATGTGCAGCTTTAACACTAAACTTGCAGTGAGCAAAGGCATAGTGTTAAGGACGAACTATCACTATTAAAAGACAGAACATTATTACTTTTAGAAAACCAGTAACAGTTCACGTTTACCCTTTCCTATTATTCACAATGTAATATATGTCCCTGGGAATAGCCATCTTGCATCAAAAGTGAATCTATCTGTATGTTTTGTATCATGCACAGAAGACTTGGACACAGTTAACATATTCGATGCATTAGTCAGTTTTTTTTGGTGTTTTAAGGCCTCCATGCTTGTAAAATTCTGTGCAAGTAGAGATCTAAGCAATGTCAAGGGTTTTCTAGTTCAAAAACTGTTTGCATATGCAGTATTTATTACAAAAACTGCCTTGAACAAAGTCGGCAGGAAAAACAAGAATTCTTTGATGGCTGACGGCCTAATATGCCGTTATCAGAAATCTTGAACTATTCAAATAAAAATAAAAAAATTAAAAAGTGGTCACTTTATTTCTTATTTCAAGATATCATTTAATTAAACATTAACTGCTTCTTTGCTGGTCGTCAGGATTTTGAAAGGAAATTTTAAGGTGTGCCCTGCTAATCTTGTTCTGAGTAAACCTGGGATTTTGCTTTTTGAGGTATGATAAATATAAATTAAACATTAACTGCTTCTTTGCTGGTCGTCAGGATTTTGAAAGGAAATTTTTAAGGTGTGCCCTGCTAATCTTTTTGAGGTATGATAAATACACTTTGCGGCCAGTGTACAACAAAAGTGGTGCTTTACGATACTTTGCCAAGATTTAAAAACCTTCCTGCCACCCCTGCTTTAAGAGGTTAATTTAATGAAGAGAATGACATATTTCTTCAGTAGAGCATCTTGTCACTGGCTCTAGGCTAGCAATGTCAAACTGCTGTTGCTAAGCTTTTTATGAACTATATCCCCCAAACATATCCAATAATCCATAGCTTTGTCAGGGCATTAGAGCAGCTGTAGTCCATAAACAGTCAGAATTCCACAGTTAGACACCCCTGATCGAGGCCCTAGTTTAGTTCTGCTTAACTTTTGGCCCTTCAGCTCTTGCGGAACATCAGGACATAGAAACATAGAATGTGGCGGCAGATAAGAACCATTCGGCCCATCTAGTCTGCCCAATTTTCTAAATACTCTCATTAGTCCCTGTCCTTATCTTATATATAAGATAGCCTTATGCATATCCCACGCATGCTTAAACTCCTTCACTGTGTTAACCTCTACCACTTCAGCTGGAAGACTATTCCATGCATCCACTACCCTCTCAGTAAAGTAATACTTCCTGATATTATTTTTAAACCTTTGCCAATCTAATTTAAGACTATGTCCTCTTGTTGTGGTAGTTTATTCTTTTAAATATTGGACAAACACACTTCTCAGTAATGTTAAAGGAGCACTATTAGTGTGGAGCATGTATATCATACTTTGGCTCCCCAGATGTTGCTGGACTACAAATCCCATGATTCTCTACCTATCTATTGAGTTTTAGTTCAACAACATCTTGGTGGCCAGAGTTTGAGAAGCCTGGTATAGAATGTTAACCCCTTTCCAATGAAGTGCATGCAATACAGTCCGACAAAAGGAGGGCTTTAAAAAATGACACAGGGTGTTAATAAATCGGGTCCTCCCCACAGCCTGGGGGGCAGTTATTCACGAAGGCAAAGTAGGCCCGTGCTGACCTGGAAGGAAATATACAGGGGAGGTGAGGTGTGGCAGGCAGTGAGAAAGGGCTGTATTCCCCACTGGACCCATGGAGAGAACCCATGGAGAGAACCCACACCAGTCCCCCCCAAACGTAAGGAGGCTGGATGGGCCTCAGCGACACCTGTAATTCTGACACTGCTTATAGCCCAGGTGAAATTTGTTTTAATTAACTGCCAAATAAGAATCCAACTTTAAACACTGACATTTATTTTAAATAAACTAAACCTATAATCAATAAAAATGTAAGTGTGTGCAAGAATGTGTAAATATGTGAGTGTGCTAGTATCAGTGAGAGTATAAGAAAAAAAAATTATATGAGGTCTAATTGGCACTATTTGATAATACTGCAACTATCCCCTGTGCCAATGATGACCAACTGAAGCAGAAAATATAAAATACAAATACACTTCCCACTTATTTTTGTACTTTAGATCAGTGAGTTGAATATCATAAATGTCAAATTGGTGAGAGTGTGTGTCAAATCAGTGAGAGAGTGTTTGTGAGAGAGCGCGTGTGTGAGTGAGAGTGTATGTGTGTCATTGAGTGTCAAAGAGTGTGTCTGTCAGTGGGTGTTTATGAGTGTGCGTCTGTCAGTGAAAGTGTGTTGGTTAAACAGCGTGTGCACCATATAAACAGTATGTATATCAGTGAGAGTATAGAGAGGGCCCTTCTCTGATTCTTGCACCAGGGCCCTGTGATTCCTAGTTCCGCCCCTGGCTATAAGTATGTATAATTAAGTTTAGAGTAAATGTGAGATTTATAACTACTGATGAAGGTCAAAATAAACAGAGAAGGTGTGTCTTGGAAAGCGGTCATTGCCATGTGCCGTGGTCCAGAAATGGTTTGCCATCACTACATAACACAAAATAAAAACCCTTCCCGATAATGCTGAGCAATATCTGATATGTTTCCCAGGCAACATGTGGCTGAGCATCATGTGAGCTGCTGTTCAACATCAGCCAGAAAACACCAAACCGCCTTCTATGGCAGAAATCAACAATACCTGCATTGAAGTAATATGAATGTCACACACCCATCATTCAAGCTAACCTAAGAGTACCGACTACCTACAGACTACTTAAACAGATAACTACACTGGATATTAGAATGCAAGAGACAAAAGACAGCTGCATGGACTGTGCAATACAGCAATGCATGGACTGTGAAGAAGAAGAAAAAAAAACAAAAAACACAGCAACACAGGATGTGAAAACAGAGACATATTGTTGCAATAGCTGTTCAAGGTGAGAAAATGGTTTAGGAGGTGTGAAGTTTAATACACCTCGCCAGTGACCTTTTCCCCCTGAGCTATTCTCGCCCCCACCTCCAATTGTAGCTTCCCAGACATCACTGGGCTTTCTCTGTGCTTCTGAAATGAACTCTAGTTTCCAGTCATGGCCTGCACCAAACATTAATCTAAACTAAATTACTGAGGTGTTCACTAAATTGTGCATTGTTGTGTATATATAAAGGGAAATTCCCATTCAGGCTACAATAGCAAAACTGAAAAAAATAAATCTCCCAAAAAGTAATATTGCAAATTTTCTATTTTGGCCTAAATTTAAATTACTTTAAATTTCCATCAATTCACCCTTTATGGTCTATCCAGGACATTCCAGAACGAGAGACTTCTGACTGGTGGAGTCTTATCCTTGACTATGTTTTTTTAGTTTTCTAATTTTACTAGCCCCTATCCATCTATAAGATATTTAGTTAATCCCCTTGTTGCAGTTTCACTCATCAGAACTGATGGGTGGACCTGTACCATAAAGGGATAATCAAATATACAACAGCTATTATGAGCTTATCCACAGCATGGCTGCTCTATCAACCTATTGACAGAGCTGGAGAGCCGAGCATATGCGGTGAGCTACTCAGGAAATGTCTGCATATAGAGCTACGTTTACAGTTCTCAGGATAGGGTAGGGTCTCTCGAGTAGCTAACCACAGCTAACTATATAGAGCACGTGGCGGTTAGTTATTCACCATACCAGAATAATGTGGAGAGCAGACAAGAGAGCCAAAAAACAAGCTGGAGATTTTTCCCATTTTTTTTTACTGTTTTAGCCCAAAAGTTTTTTTCTTCTTTTGTCAATACTCCACATTTTCCAGTAACGGAGAGGTTAGAAAACCAAATTGTCAATTTGCTGAAAAGACAGACAACGACTGAAATGGTTTACTTAGTTCTTCTGCTCTTTAATTGTTATTCACTATACGGACAATCTAGAACATTAATTGTGTCTTTAGTAATGTGACCTGTCAGTGTCTAACCTTTTGGCTGTTCAATTCCTTCCTTAGTTTTTCCACTTCCTCATCTTGAGCCTGAAGTGTTGATTGAGAATTGGCATCAGACGAAGGCTCGAGAGCAAGGCTTTCTGTGCTGCACCGGTTTCTGCTCACATTGATCATATCTCGCAAGGGACGTTTTATTTTCGAGGGCAATACAGATCCTGATGGTGATCAAACAGAACCAACACGTTGAGAAGCGAGAAAGACTGAAGAGTTAAAACACTGAGCAACTCAACATAAAAGTTACAGGCCACCTGTTTATTTCACTATACCACGACAAACGTCAAACCTAACTGTTCAAGAGTTTCTTTTTTACCATCAGGATATAGAATATCTTTACCTGTGAATGTAGTTCTTAAAAAACAATTGCCTCAAAATGATCTCCTGCTCTGTTATTTGATCTTAATCACACACAGGAGAAAGTTGCGAGCTCAAGCATGCCATTAACAGAGGTGGAAATAATAAATTCTAAATTAAACAGGGTGTGCAATAAGAGAATCAACATAATTTTTTTTAGCAAGTGTGTAGGGAGACCATGAGTCACAGCTAGGATGTGGCTTTGGCTGTCCCTTTAAACCCCTTTAAACGGTTTGACTACTTATTCTGGGACACTCCTGGCACCATAACCAGTGAGCTGTAGTGGTTATTGTATCTGAATTCTTCCGAGATTGGGTTCTGGATCCGCCCCTGTTTGATGTGCTCTGTCTGAGCAGACCCCAATGCAGGGTTAGCTCATTGGCTGAGAGCGATCAGTTGACCGGGCTTTGCTCAGGAGAGCTAATGGAAGAACCCTGCTACCTGTTGTCAGTAGTGGAGGCTGGGAGCACCTTGCAATCAAATGTCAATTCAAAAATAATTTGCAAAAAACAAACAAACCAGGAATTGTTGGGAATGCAGTGGAATTGCACTTTTATAGGGATACTTAAAAACAAACAAACAAAAAAAACAAAAAACAAAACTGGTTTTGAATGGAGAAACCCTTGCTGGCATGCTTTACCCCTAAAAAAAAAAAAAAAAAAAAACTATAAAGGCTTAGGGAGGACTTACAGTATCATGGAAGCGGAAGCCATACTCTCATGGTTGCCCAAGTCCAGCATGCTATGTGCGGACAACGGAAGCTTTTTAAGCCCAGAATTGATATTAGCTAATGACACTGCCAGAGATGGAGCAACACGACATAGCACTGTATGATCAACATGTCTTACTGAAACAGACTCCAAGCACCATGACCACTTTAAATCACTGAAATGGCAGTGGTGCTCGGACTAACCTAAAACCAAAACGTTTGAGCTGGAAACATGATTGACTTGAGAAATATTCTCAGTTCAATTTTCCAAAAGTAAATTCATGAAATGATCTTATTGAATAGTTTTAGTTTAACCCCTTAAGGACACATGACATGTGTGACATGTCATGATTCCCTTTTATTCCAGAAGTTGGTCCTTAAGGGGTTAATCACAGAATTTGCCTTTTCATGTCATTTAACACAAACAAAAAGCAATCAAGGAAACTGGCCTCCACACCTGTGGTCCCTTTGCCTCCGTCTCCCTGATGTTTCCGTCTTTCCTCCTGCAGTAGGCATTCCTCCAAGTCCTTGGAGGTGGGGTTTAGCAGCTCCCACTCCTCATTGGTGTAGAATACACTCTTTCTCTGTTCGTTGCTGCTTTTGCCTGGCCTGAGATTTTGCATTGAAATTCTACAAACAACAAAAAGTGTATAGAATTTATTTTATATACATATAAAACACACACACACACAAATAATGTTTCTAAATTTGCGAAGGCCAGTTAATGAAAAGCATTTGTTTTACTTATGAAATGTTTTACCTGGAGGGATACATTAATGAGATATGCATGACTTTGAGACAGTTGTCTCAGTCAAAAGCTTTAGCTTTGAGCGAGACAGTTGCCTCACTCTGCCGGTCACCAAAATGTATCTGCTTCTTTTTTCCACACCCACTACGATGGGATACTGATCTAACCAATCAGTTTCCTATCCCTAGGAATGCTGGAAAAGTGCATTGGGCATGCCTGACACATTTATACATGTGTCGTTGGAAGATCTTTTCACCTTGTAACATACTGACAGAGGGAGAAGAGAGGAAGTTTGATTCATGCAGAGCAGGTTAAAGTGCGGGGTTTCTCTCTCCTGCTGTTGCACAATTATGCCCAGTTTCTGATATTAATAGTAGACTGGTCTGAAATTGTGACGGGTGAATAAAAGGTGGGGTGGTGATGCTCCCTTTGTTGAGAATCATGCCCAACAATGCAATCTGACCAAGTTTATAGTAAGTTTATAAACATTTGCTACATAGTTTTCAAAGTGTTTTTGCTTTATTTTTGTATATATATTTTAAGCGTTTGCTGGTTTTAAAAAAAAAAAAAGTAAAATTTTTTGATTAAGAATTAATTTGTAAGCGTGCACATGCAGTGGGTATATCTGCTACCAGAGCAGGTGTTCACTACAAATTTCATCACAGCAGCCAATGGTTACTGCAGTGTATAGCAGTCTGAAGTGTAAAAATGTGCCATTATCAGATTCTGTGTGAGATAGATCTCAGTTATTCTCACTATCAGTAGCCAGCAGAAAATTCTGACAGTTCCTCCAAAAAAGGAAGGAAACCCTTGACTGAGAATCTACACAAGTGTTTTGTTTTCTAAGTCATTCTCAACATGTTTCAAAACTCTGTTGTGACATTAAAACATCACAACATCTGCAGTCACAGTTGCATATTGAGAATAAGAGCGGGCCTTCATAGGTTTTCTAACTTCACGCTCTGCATGGAGGCGCTGAATGTTCCCCATAGAGATGCATTGATTCAATGTGTGTATGAGGTGATACTGACAGGTGCAGCATTTTGGTGCGCATGCGCAATAGTTTCCCAAGGTTTTCCTATAGGGAAGCATTGGATTGCCTGAGATCATCAGGCTTTATTATCTCAGCCATGGAGGTGGGGCCCACCACGACGAGTCCGGCATGGTGTGGGAAAAAGGTTGCGTAAACACACTATTCCATGGGAATGGAGGGGGGCCAGTCACCTAAACACACACGCACTGACAGACACACACACGCACTGACAGACACACACTAACACACACATACTGACAAACACACACAGGGAGGGAGCACAGAAAGAAGAACACAGCTACTTTTCTGCCTGACTCGATTCTTCCTCAGCCAGCTGCCTTCCTGTCTACTCCCCCCCCCACCCCTGAGAAGGCCCCCCCAGATGGAATTGGCTAACAAATACCCAGGTGCCAGTACAAACTTCCTAGTCGCCATCGCGATCTGGGTTTTGTAGAGTTTTGATTTAAAGAACCTATGTGTGTCATTGCAAAATGAGTCTAAACACGCAAGTAAATTTATCATGTAATGGCTCAAGCAACTCAAGTGCATTACAGGACAGACAACTCCTAACTTTTAACAAACACTGCAGCTTGCTGAAATGCTTTGTGTGTCTGAAGTCTGTCAAACTTGTGACAGTTTATGAAAGTACCCATTTTAATAGAAATCTGCATTCTTATAATTGGGCACGAACACCTCCCTGGCTGTCAACAAGACAGTCAGGGAGGTTTTTTTTCCCCTTTCCGTTCACTCCAAAGAGCAAACAGAAGTGTCAGCACCTGCCTTCCCATCTTCTCAATGAGCTGTACTACAACTCACCGAGAAGCATTAGAAAGTTTATGTGCATTCAGGGATCCTGCAAAGAGTCTTCTCAATGAGATGCCTGCTGGGAAAAATGCAAGCTGTTTTTAGATATACGCACACACACATACATGATGCGCATAACTTAATTAATGCATGTTTTTTTATTGGGGGTAAATATACTTAATATGTGTTTCTATATTTATTTTCCCCTGATTTATGCAACAAGTGTTTCTTTAACTGAGAAAAAATTGTGAAATTCTGAGTGTGTCACTGCCATTGAGGTCCTTCTCTATTTCTGTTATTGTGAGAATGTTTAAGCTAGGGAATTTGCATGTATTTGCATCTGTTTGTATGGGTCACCACAATTTGAATGATTCTTGGAGGTTAGTCTTTGTGGCGAATAAAGTAGGATCTGTTATTTGGGGGGCATGGTGACAGACTATATGTCCTAAAAGTTTAATCACTTGGACCTGCAAGCCAAAAGCATCTTTGTAAAGACGGTGCCAGGGGTGGTCAGATGAAGTGATAACTGCCTATTTAGTGGGTAGAGGACAAGACTTTATCCTAACCAAATGTGGTGGTAGTCTCTGCTGCCAGTGGAGAAGAAACAGACTACGTAATGGGACAAATCTGGGTCCCAAGCTGGGGATCAATCTACCCTGTTTCCGTTACAGAAATCTTATAATAAGACCTAAATCATGTAAGATAGCCCAGCAAGGTCAATGGCTTAAACAGACAATCAAGCACATACACATTAACAAAAACTAAAAACTGTATCTCGTTAACACAGTAACCAACAAAAGTCAATATCCTACCCACTACGGAACACGTTAGTATAAATTTCAAATAAAGCTGGATTTTCTATGAAGGAGAATGAAAAATAGCCTAGGCACCTATTTTTATTATTTATTTTTCATGTAAATCTCAAAAGCATATCTATTCACTTTCAGCTGCTCAATCTGAATTTTTTCTTGGAACAACTCTGTCTTGGGTAAGAACTAAAAGTATGACTTTTTGGGTATTCATAGTTAATGTAAAATTGTAGGCCCAAATAGTCAAATTGAAAACATGAAACATTTTTCCAACTTTTTGACTTCAACCAAAATTTAAAAAAATTACTTTAAATTTCTGATAATTCACACTTAAATGTTTTCCTGGCTCTATAGGGTCCTTGGGTCCCCCTCACCCTCAGGGCTCTCCTCCAGCCGGGCTCTAGGGTGAGGAAGAAGTTAATCCCTTACCTTTTTTCCAGCGCCGGGCTCCCTCGGCTCTGGGGAAATCTCCTCCTTCTTCTGCCATCATCGGCTGAATGTGCATGCGCGGCAAGAGCCGCGCGCGCATTCAGCCAGTCCATAGAAAAGCATTGAGAATCACAGTGAAAAGCGCGGAAGCGCCTCTAGCAGCTGGATTAACCCATCTGTAAACATAGCAGTTTCTCTGAAACTACTATTTTTACAGCAGAAAGGGTTAATCCTAGATGGACCTGGCACCCAGACCACTTCATTAAGCTGAAGTGGTCTGGGTGCCTATAGTGGTCCTTTAAGTGAAGAGCTTCGCTTTAGATGAATGTGTCAATTATTATTTGGAGATTATATGGTAATCGTTAACATTGTTCCAGAGATTATATTTACTACAGATTACTCAACTGCCCCCATTCTGAGGACTGTGCAGTTATTCCTAGTAATGCACAGAAGGACCTGCGCAGTGCCTCACCTGATGTCGTTGCTCCACTGCCTGAGCAGGCCTTGCACTGGGGCTGCATGACTGGAGGGATGGTCTGCAGACATCTGCTCACCGAGTATTCCTGGGCACACTGCTGCAGCAAAATGGATCCGAGCTCTCTCCGCAGCATCGTCCATGTCAGAGAAACTCATGAGATCTATGGACAAACCATCAGAAAACAGTTTATATAAGTAAATACTGCAGTTTTAAAAGGCGTCAAATTCCCCGACCCGCACAGACTCCCCCACTGTGACTGTCAGCAGGTTGCCAGGTAGCAATCTGGGAGTATATTCCCGCTGTAACATAACATAGTTTCCCATTCACATAGTTTCAGATCTTTGTCTTGAGAAAAAAAAAAAAAAATTATATATAATATAAATAAAAATAAATAAAAGTAGGGGCGGGGCCAGGCTGCATAGCACAAGGGCTCCCGAGCAAACAACGGAAAATAGGGTATATACCCACCTTATACTGACCCGGGGGTCCATGGCACGAGGCTCTGGAGTGTCCCGGTGTAGCTGGGACGCCCGCTGCAGGGTGGCTCTAGGTCCTGGTAAGAGACTCTGGGGCTCGGAGATTGAGGCCTACCCGGGAGAGGAGTGGGGCGGACTGCCGCTGCCTCACTCTCCACCCCGACTACAGCGTCAAATTCCCCGACCCGCACAGACTCCCCCACTGTGACTGTCAGCAGTCATTTAGGAGTTAAATCCCCCACTGTTCACTGTCATTTAGGAGTTTAATCACTTTGTTTCTGTTTATGCAGCCCTAGCCACACCTCCTCTGGCTATGATTGACAGAGCCTGCATGAAAAAAAAAAACTGGGTTCACTTTCAAACAGATGTAATTTACCTTAAATAATTGTATCTCAATCTCTAAATTGAACTTTAATCACATACAGGAGGCTCTTGCAGGGTCTAGCAAGCTATTAACATAGCAGGGGATAAGAAAATCTTAATTAAACAGAACTTGCAATAAAGAAAGCCTAAATGGGGCTCTCTTTACAGGAAGTGTTTATGGAAGGCTGTGCAAGTCACATGCAGGGAGGTGTGACTAGGGTTCATAAACAAAGGGATTTAACTCCTAAATGGCAGAGGATTGAGCAGTGAGGCTGCAGTGGCATGTTCTATACACCAAAAACTGCTTCATTAAGCTGAAGTTGTTCAGGTGACTATAGTGTCCCTTTAAGCAAACAATCGGTCTTAAAAATGCAACACTTTGAAATAGGATGAAATGTTTTTATGATTATATATTATGTTTTCTAGGTTATGATGACAATCATTGGGAGACTATTTGTAGCATTAAGCGAGATGGCAAAACAAAAATCTAATATTCCTTCCTCTTTTCAGATTCATTCTCACACACATATTGCCCTAGTTTACACAAACTTGCAAAATAGGTCAATTCCTCATCGTGGGATTCTGCATGTAAACCGAATACAAGTTCAGCTGTATCACAGTATGTTTACGAAGGTGGTCGTAGCCTGTGTCAGAAATGCCTCAATTTCAACCAACGTGCAGGGTTACTTACTAAAAAGCCAAGTGTCGAGATTTCAAAGTGAATTTCAAACTTTCAGCTAAACTGGAAAAACGGTGCGAGTCAGCTTTACTTTTAGATTCTCTTTGGCCAAAAATAAGTCTCTCTGAATTCTTAACATTTCACACATTTGTGAAGAGACCTTAAAAGATCATCAATATAAGTCTGTGTCTATTTCTAACTACTGAACGGGGTAATTGGAATTTACCTGCAGTCAAAAATCTATGATAATAAATCTAGTGATTCATTCACCAAAGCAAGAATTGTATACAATCTCCTCATGGAGTGTCCATACCTCCCGCTTAGGGAATAACTTCCGTTGCCAGCTATCTATACACAGAATGTTAAACTACTATACATGCAAATTCTGATCTTCCTACCCTGCTTATTCTGGCAATAACTGAATTTACTCACCACAAACTACACTGGAATGTTAACCATGTGTAATATGACTCGTCCTGTCCTGATCACGTTTGCCACGTCAATATTTTCTTGCAGTCTGATTTAATCCATTGTTACACTATCCAGTAACCGATACGGTGTATCGTATAGGCCTTACCTGTGCTTTCTTTGGCAACCAGACCAGTGGGGACTTCCACAGATGCAGGACCGATTGCACTGTCTCGCTTAGTCATGCCAACGTTGTTACAGAACTCCCAACGTTTCTGCTGTAATTCTTGAAGCCAGTAGGCCATCTTGTGCTTGCTGGGAGCCTATTCACACATAAAAACAAAAAATGAACAGGGAGAGAAGAGGCTTGAGTACTGGGTTTTATGGACTACGACCTTTTTTTTTAGCAGTTCCAAAATCAAAAGTTATTGATTTAGACCTATTTTATTGAACAGTTTGGTATTAGATCACTTTGGAAGGTGCTGTGGACCAATGTCGGAAGCCAGAACAGATTAACTATAGGACGACTCTAGGCGGTCACCTAGGGCCCAAGAACGATGGAATCTATGAAACTGACCTCATTAACCATCCCTATGTGAAAGAAAATACAGTAACCAGATTACCTCTTTAAAATAGATCGATATAGAATCAGTATTGTATTTTAGTATCGCCCACTAACATCTGCCCCATAAAGAACAATATAGATTTACTCTACTAGGTAAATATGTACACATACTATTTATCACATAGTATGAATTAACTCTAATATGTAACACATAGTATACCTACTCCAATGTAAGCTTAAAATTGGTGGTCAATAACTCATGAAATGTTTAAGCCCACAACACAGCTTTAGAAATGCTAGACAAAATTTCTAGGCTTAAACAGCTTATTTGGCCCTCACACCGGTACCACATACTACTCTAGACTCCAGAAGAATGGCTACAGATTGTGTCCATTTAAGCAGTTAAAGTATGGAGATTAATGTGAAAAGTTAAAAAGGGTAGGTGGTAAACGGTACATGTTAGTTTACCATAAAAACTAATAAATAATGTACATTTCAGATTTAAAAAGGAAAAAAAACACCTTTTCAGGGAAGTAAGTTCTTAACAATTCTTACAGATGGCCCAACAATTTCTTGATTGATTACGAACAAGCCCATTGTTTGTACAAAAGCAGTGTTGGAACGATCTACGTTACTATACCCTCTTCAGGAATATTTGAACAGTATTGTACTGAATGAAGTAGTATAATCACAACAGCAAGAAACAAGGCTGTTAACAAAAAAAAGACAAACCATTAAAACCGTTTAAAGTTTAGGTCTTTCTTTTAGAGAAATTGCAAAGAATGCCAAGGTGTCCATTTCCAAACCATCAATAGGCACATGGAAACTGGAGAAAACAAACAAGAACAGGTCTGGCAATGGATTCAGAAGAAACGCTACAGAGAGTGATAGATGGCCTCAAGGACAGTTTCACAGTGGTCAAATTCAGCCAGTCTCATTTTCAACTGTGATGAAAAGACTTAAGTTGCAGGTTTGGCAGTAAGAAGGCACTTGGTAACATAAAAAAATAAACTAGTGGACTACCAAAAACTGGAAAAGGGTCTTGTGGTTCAACAAATCAAATGTTTTTGTATCGGGTCAAGCAGCCAAAAGTATGGTCCCTCATTGTGTCAGTCAAACTTGGACGAGAAACAGTGATTTGTTTTTCAAGAACTTTATATCATACGTAGTATTTACTACAACCAATATCATTTGGCCATGACATTGTCCATTTTTTTTTCACAATTATGCAAAAATCCTTGCACAGACCTAACTTTGTGTACTGCCATACTGAAGAAGGAAAGAGTCTTTTCTAAACTGCTGCCACAACAGTGGGACGACCATACCATGTGCTGTACAATTATGATGTCCAACACTGGAGACCAAGCTTAAACCAAGAGAAATAGCCTCACATCATTTTCTTTTTCCAGCAGGTTTTACAGATTACATGATTCAGTCAAAAGGGAATCGAATGTTTTCTTCTGGCATTTAACCAAACCAAGAGTTGGGCTTTGGTCTGCCAGATGATAACATATGCTTTATCACACCAGAGACCTAATTTACATGACTCTAGAACCCCAAACCAGATCATTTTAGGGATGTTTGGCTTTATATGTTATGATAGTCTTGGGAGCATCCATGGGTCTATAAAAACTATTTCAGAAACTTCTTCTTAGAAACAATTTAGAAAGTAAGCTGTGCAGCAGAGCACAGATTATTTTAATTTATTTAATTACTAGCTGGTCCTATTCGGTGTGCTTGGGAGACATACTACACTGCATTCATCTGTTACTACTCCTAGGAATGTTGTTTTACGTGCAGTTAAGTGGGGCAGTTTTAACACAGCCTAACGTCTTAGAAAGGTGACGTCTTATGACGATAACATTAGAAAACTTGCTGAGCTCTCTAGCACAGATTATTCGGCTACCCACTTTATGCCATGGAGATAACACGGTCAAGCAATTGATTTTTTACACCTGTTTTAATATCTGTGACTGAAAAATCCCATGATACGGTTACAAAGCAATAACTGTAACTAAACCGAGCTGTAGAACAAACTAGAAATGAAAGTCAAAATTCATAAAATAACAGCGAAGATTGTACTACAGAGGAATGCTATTGTACCATCCTTCCCTTGTGAGATAATGTTATCTTAGATCAATTCATTACAAATACTCATTTGTCGGTAATGTTTGTCAGACATGTCTGATTACATCACAGCATCTCAGGTCATTACTGGAACATGAAAAATGTGATTGAAGTGGTCATGGTACCCAGAGTTTGTACGCACAGTGTTTTGCTATGAAACGCTGCATAGAAAGAGATTCCTCTGCTACCGGAGGTGTAACACCACCTATGGGCGCATCATTGGAGCGTAAATAGCCAGCCCAGAACAAGTCCTTGTACACACTCTGTACACACAGCCAATGATGGCATGCCACTTTCCTCCCCTCAGCCTGCTCTCCCTGACATATACCCCCTTCCAGCAAAGGAGAATGATTTTTACAGATGAGGATCAGACTGTAGGGAGAAGTTGATCCCAGCACTAAAACAGCTATAAGTTTTTTTCCCTCTTTTATTTCCATTTTTCTGGTGGGAAGGGAGGGCGGGGAGGTGAGAGGGGGCAGGTATTACTTGGTAGGCTACACTGTTTATTTTGGTTCAAGTGACCCTTTCATTTTCTGGACTCACATAACCTTTGTCAGTGAATTTAACTACTGATCCTGGCAGTTTGGGAATTTTATACTTTTCAAGTACATCATTGTCAGAACAAATTAGGGAAAGTCCAGATTGTTGTAATCTTAAACAGAGAGCAATAAATACCTACACCCAGAAGTTAATTTGCCTTGCTATTTATCACTGGACAAATATCCACTCTTGATAACAGACTAGAGCCATCTCCTACATCTCATTTACTTATTAACAGGTTTTCACTTAAACACAGTAGCAGTGGATGTCAAGGGGACATCAATGACCTAAACACATGGTTTATTCATTAAACAGCAACATTTAGTGGATAGAAAAAAAAAGAACAAAAAACAGAAAATTCAGACTAGGATAGCCAAGCTGCAAAAAATAGCACAACTGGGAAATTTTTCATGATCAGCTATTTTGGCCTTCATTTTGCATTTTATAATTTTAATGTGGCTTTGTCAATTTTGAGCTCTTTAGAAAAACTGTGTTGGAATGTCTTTGAAATGAGACAAGGTGCATCTCCACCATTTCATGTTTCCCCATCAGTAATGACAGCTGAAGAGATATGATCATCTTGACCGATGAGCTGCAGATGTCTATAGTACCTTTTAATGGATGTGCATCTTATCTATGGAAGATCTTGTGGCCTTGCAGACTCATCCATAGATCCCACTTTGGACTCTTGTGCATGCACTAGTAAGGTCAACTCCTGGCAGATGAAGTCACCAGGAGCCAAAGACGTATGGCAGCCCCTAAGAAGACCAGCTTAACCGCTCACCCATTGGGACTGCACAAGAGGCAGTGTCGCTCTAATTCACTACAATTTGCTGCTTAGTGTATACACCCCTGAGTAAATACACATCTTGCAACCTACAGGATGTGTGGCTGTTCAGTCATGTAACTTTCCATACTTTGTAAGAATACCTGCAGAGGTTTCTTTACTAGTCTTCTCCCAGTCCTCCCCCCAATTTTCTTTTTCGGTCTCCTCCGTCCAATAACTAAAGTAATATCCAGCTATACAATTATCTTGGACTCAATGGCAAAAGGCAACATAAAATTTCAACTTTTGCTTATTGCTTTGGGACTAGTGAGTTACATGTGAATCTGTTTCACAAATAAATTAAAGAATCCAAATAATGACCGGGGCTAGATTGTAGATGCACACTGAAACACAGACCATCAAGGCCAGTGCTTTGCGTGGTTAGTGCCACTAAAAATAAAAAAAATTTAAAAAATGAACATAAACTCCGACACCATCTGAAAAAAAAGTACCTATTGGGCCAATGCAGTGAAATAAAGTTATGAATATTTACGGGGCAAAAAGATTAAAGTTTTTAGAGGTTTACTGACCCAAGCACTGCTAAACACAGGGACATGCACCGGTCAATGCTTATAAATTACATATTTTCTAGAAATATGCACATAAATAACAATATACAATATTCATACATATATGAAGTTTACATAATTATCTCTGTCACTATGCGCAGTATATAAACCTGGCTAATTACCCGGAGAATGGAGACCCTTCCAGAGCTGTGGATCTCAAACTGCCCTTCTTCGGCTTCCAGGTCGTAGCTAAAAGAGGCGCCCCCAACATCTATATGCCCCAGTGGCTGGGCATCTTGAGGGCTTTTAAAGTAATAGAGATGGCACCTCCGGGGGTCTAACACAAACCAACGGTTTTTGAAACTCCTCAGGGGTCCTTTGCCAGAAAGCTTGGCTAGGTAGCCAGAGAGTCTGTATGGCTGCTCCTTGGTGGTTTCTGCAGGTGAAGTGGTCATGGGTTCTTCAGAAATATTGTCATGGCTGGTTGTCTGTTCTTCCACTCCAGGCATCTCTACAGATCCAGCAGGGCACACGCTCTCTTTTTCAATGCCACATCTCACCATCAACCTCTGAATAACACAGGCTCTTCTCCACAGCAGTCTTCCTTCCAAAACAGGATGCTGTGTAACTTATTGCAAGGTCACTAAACAACCAACTGCATTTAAAGTTCCTTTCTACTATGTGCTAACTTTGCAAGATCTGGATACTTTGTAACGCTGCAAGGTTCCTCAGCATTCCATGCATCTTCTCTCCTCTAACAAAGAGCAGATTGAGCCTGGCTGTCAAACCTAATCATTGAGCAGTGTCTCAGTGCAAAATAGACAAACTTGTATCAGTCTGCCCTGCACAAACACTCTGTATTCACCCCATTCATGCCTGTCTGTCTTCTCATAAAGCTTGCAAGCATTCTCTGCACAACCCCAAACCCCTCCTAATATTTTATATCCTGCCTGCTCTCATAAGCACATGTGACCACACTACATTTCCTCTGTATCCACTCCACTCACACTGCAAACACCCACCCTGCATTACTCTGACTATGATGGCATGTGTCAGCCCAAATTGGATACATCACCCATGATTCCTGTGATATCCCTTAGTGACAGGTAATAACACAGCACATGCCCCCCCTGCTCACACTCTAAATCTAACTAACATAATTGCCCTACCTACAAAGTCTGCGTCCAGCCTTTTACCCCAGCCTAAACCCATGACTGCATGCAGCAAGAGAGCATCATGGGATGTGTAGTTTTCAGCCCGCTCTGGTGGCTAACTCCTGTACTGCGCTGAAACTACATTTCCCGCGATGCTCCGAAATGCTTAACCCATCTATTTGTTAAGAGGCGTGTATTTCCCCTTTTCAAAATAAATATATTAATGCTGTTTCCACCCAAAGTTTACAGAACAGAGAAGTGCCACGTACATACTGTGGCAACGTTGCTTCTCTATGTTACATTTAATGTTCAGCTCAAGCTATTTGGAGTTTAAAAAAAAAAAAAAAACATTTCAAGGGGGAAAAATGTGCAATCTGCAGGCATAGTGGGAGAAAGGGTAATGATAAATAAGGTTGGGCAAAGTTGTGACAGTGGAGCAATCACCATGGAAACCAATGGACTCAGCAGGAACAGACCCCTGGTGGTTGTTCCTCCATTACAAGTCTGCACCACTTTTCAGAACACAAAAATTCGATTTACCAACGTTTTCTGAAACAAGTTCAAAATATGTACCATGTTATTGAGGGGTCTTACAAGTCTAAAAAAACTCACCTTTCCAACATTTTAGATTGTGAAAGAGGGACACTAATTTTAGCGGTGTGACTGCAGTTGTGTCCTGGGGCAGAGCTGTGCAGAGATATTTTAGGTGACTTACTAATAATTTATGCAACTAAATTGTAATTTAGAACAAGCACAATATATCTCATTTATGCAAACAGATTTCTAAATACAATTATTGCTGTGGAGCTCTGTTATACACTCAGGCCAACAATATTGACCTCTTAGAATTTAGGGACATTAGGATAGAAAAGAGGGACAGAAGGATCTGGGCTCAAATAGGGAATGTCCTTCCTAAATAGGGACAGTTGGGAGGTATGGAATTCTTTTTATATTCCACAGATTTTTGCACCTTTGCAATTATGTCCAACAGCGTCAAGTCCTAGAAAAATGATTATGAGACTCTTCAGGTCAATGACATCTTCCTAGCAGTTAAGTAGCTCACATCATCTCACTCTTAAAAGCGACTGCTCCTGTACTATAAGCCATAAGAGGTGAGGAAACGTAATCCCCTCAGCAAATATAATAATGCATTCCCATTGAACTATAGAGCCTTATGTTCAGCAAAGCAAGAATACTGAGCGAATATTCTCTGAGTATTCTTCCTCACATTCTACATCAAGATTAAAATAGTACAAGAAAACATTAAATAGAATAGAATACTTTTCTGGTGCAAAAAAAGCAGCTTTGTAAGCAATACAACTCCCATCACAGCTCACACAAAGTGACAGACACAAATTAAAAAAAAACATGGCAGCCCTTATGCATACAGTGCTTATTTAACAATGCTCTCTTAAAGGAACACTATAGTTCCAGGAATACAAACACGTATTCCTTAAACTATGGTGGTAAAAACATTCTTTAGGTCCCAAGCCCCCCTTGTTTCCCTTTATATTAGGTATTTTTCTTGCCTTTCTTCAGTGCTGCGCTGATCTCGCCATCGCTGTCCATGCCTCGTCCTGCCTTTGTGGCTGAGATGATCAAATTTGATGATCTCAGCCAATCCTATAGCTATTGTGCATGCATCTTTATGGAAAGTATTCAGAGTTTCTATGCAGAATGTGGAGACACTGAACGTCACTGCAAACACATTGCAGCACTGACCCAGGAAGCACCTGTAGTGGCCATCTGAGTGACTGCTGCTAGAGGTGTTAATAGGCAGTACTGCAAACACTGCCTTTTCTCTAGCTGTAGTTGTTCTGGTTAATATAGTGTCCCTTTAATAAGTGTCTTCTACATTTAATTTCAATGGTATAATTTATCCATCTCTGCGATACGTTAATTTGTACTCTACTGACACCTACTGACCACTTTTTGCACAAACTCTCCCTTCTCCCTTTTATGTTTTTACTATGCCTTTGGCCCTGGTTCTCAACCTTTTTTTAACAGGGACCTAAATTATGTACTTGCCATTAGCTTTGTGACCCGTTCTTCCCATTGTTACAGTGAAATCTATTGTGAGCAGTTGTATGGGGCATGGACGAGGGTGCCATGAGTCTTTAAAACCACAAGGACTCACAAAAATATTATGGGGAACCAATGTTTGGTCTTGATCCAAGGGTTAAGAAATAATGTTTAAGGTATTCTAGACCAGCTATATTTCCAGTGATGGCTGCACAGCTAAATCTCAAATCTTACCCAATCTTAAATCATCAGGCTCACACAGGGATCAGGACTTTATAAATAACTGAACATGGGGTGGGGGATACCTGTCATTTGTTTTGTAGGGGAACTAACTATTTCTGATAGCAGCCTGCAGAAAATGGATATCAATACTTGGAATGTAAGTGATTAAAGCTTACAAATGTGTATTCGCAAGTTATTCCACGACTGCATTTGATCTATGATGTGTGTATTTGACACCAGACTGATTCAACAGAGAGAAGATTGGCTTCAGTCTTCAAACTGTTATGTTTATAGAATAAGATGAGATGAGACAAGAGACTATTAAGTGTGCACAGTATGTGAGCTTTACATGGGCTGGTATGTATACAGTCCAGATTTATGCGATTTTTTAGACTAATTTTCATTGATGGTTTCCAGTTACTGTCTAGTCTGGTCTAAAAATTCTGAACAGTTTTATAGGACATTCAGATGTATAGGACATGCAGATTCTTCAAAAACATGAATTCACAAAACATAACTGTTCCCTTAATGGGCCAGGTCCATATATACAGCACAAAACAATCTCTAGACAAGGGCCACACATTAATATGTAACATCCTGGAACAAAATCCTGGAACAAAAGCCAAGAAGATCAGGAAAGATCAGACACATGCTTTGGTCAGATTAATCAAATCACAGAAAGTCAGGATCACAACAGGCAATACAACAATGTTCATGCAGGCAGCACGTGTACTAGAAGGGTTTACGGGGCCATACGAAGATGATTACACTATACCTTACCTAACAGCAGGTTAACCCAATACCACATCCGTCAGTGTTATGGATGTGACACTATTGTGTAATGATTTGACTTGCAAATGTCCATGTTTCCATAATGTTTGCAAGTGATGTAAGAAGATGCTAACCCTCACATGACTATTTACATAAACATTAATTTGTTGGCACAAAAATTAACTTTCTCATAAATGAATTCACAAAACAGTTTCCATTAGGTAATGATAAAGCAAACATTGTTTGTGTCGTTCTTTTTTTTTACACCATATACTTTATGAAGTGGAAAGTACACTATGTTCATAGAGTAAACAGATATATGTAAATACAGGCACAGTCGTGTGTTTTGTTATTGGTCTGCTCTGGCTTGGACAAAAGATAGAGATATAACTCAGAATGTTACGGAGAAATGACTTCCAGTAATGTACAAATTAGCCTATGATACTTAGATAGCCATTTGGGGAAACAAATATATCTTATCGACAAAGATGAGAACAGAATGAACAACTCTTTATTCTTCATGCCCTCAATAAGCCCTCTTTATCCCTCTCTTGTTTCTCTAAACCAAATCACACGGGGGCAGCAGCGAGCTTATCCTAATGGATTCCTGAATCCTGCTTTCCGAAATTGGCTATCCTTTCAACTAGGCATCGGACCTGTGCCATGAATTTCTTACTTGACAGCTTTGTAGGATAGGAAGTATTGAATTAATTTACAAACTGGGAATCTGCACAATCACATTTATCGGTTAAGTCAACAAAGAGGGAATTGTTGTGAATTGATAAAGAAATGACAAATTCTAGGCCAATATTGCAGAACTGAAAAAAAAAAAAGTTTTTATCTAAAATATATAAATTAAGTGTCATTCATTTCTTTATCGTTTTCTTTTTACTGCAAACACCCCATGGTCTGTCTGTGCACCAACTTAACACATCCATACGGCCTATTGCATTCAGGAGCCCCAGACTATGCTCATGCAATTCCCTCACATCTCATCCGTACTCTGTCTTCTCTTTCTCCACCTCTCACTAAAATTTTCAATCTCTCTCTCTCCTCTGGTATATTTCCATTGCCCTTCAAACATGCAACTGTAACCCCAATTCTAAAGAAGCCTAATCTTGACCCTAACGCCCCATCCAACTATCGTCCTATCTTGCTACTGCCTTTTGCATCCAAGATCCTTGAAAAAATTGTGTATGCGAGATTGACAGACTTCCTCGAGTCCAACTCTCTGCTAGACCCGCTTCAGTCTGGTTTCCGCGCTAAGCACTCTGTGGAAACGGCACTGACCAAAGTATCCAATGATCTACTTGCTGCAAAATCTCGTGGTCACTACTCTATCCTAATTCTCCTTGACCTGTCTGCGGCTTTTGACACTGTTGATCATCAACAGCTTCTTCTCATCCTCCGCAATATCGGTCTACAAGATATTGCTCTCTCCTGGTGCTCCTCCTACCTCTCCCAGCGCTCTTTCAGTGTTTCTTTCTCTGGCTCTGCTTCTTCTCCCCAACTCCTCTCTGTTGGTGTCCCCAAGGTTCAGTCCTTGGTCCCCTACTGTTCTCCATCTATACTGCCTCCCTTGGTAAACTCATTAGCTCCTTTGGCTTCCAATTTCATTTCTATGCAGATGACACGCAAATCTACTTGTCCTCTCCTGATCTCTCCCCGTCCCTCTTGACTAGTGTCTCTGACAGCCTCTCTGATGTTTCTAACTGGATGGCTGCCCACTTCCTTAAACTAAACTTGACCAAAACTGAAATTCCTCCCTCAAGTGTTGTTACTCCTGTGTCTGTCTCCCTCCAAGTCAACGGTGCTACCATCCGCTCCACCACGCAGGCTCGCTGCCTAGGTGTTCTCTTTGACTCCGACCTCTCCTTCAAGCCTCATGTTCAATCTATCACCAAATCCTGTCATTTCCATCTCAAAAACATTGCGCGCATCCGCCCCTACTTAACGCCAGATGCGACTAAGGTGTTGGTTCATTCCACTGTCCTTTCTCGCCTTGACTACTGTAATCCGCTTCTCACTGGTCTTACATG